TAAATTAATAAATACTGTTTTGAATAATTTTGTAAAGTAAAAGAAATTTAGAAGAGTATACATGTATCTTTAAAGAATGACTAAAGTCCACTTACCTTTTGAGCTTCTATTCTGTTTGACTGTTTACCTTTCAACTGACCAATACATGTTTACCAACAAGTATGACCACTGGAACACCCTAGGGTGGGCTTTTTGTTATTACATAAATTTGCATGTCCAAACAACTGAGCCTCTTATCTTCTTATCTGAACAATACATCTAAATTGTTGTGGTCACCTCAGAACAAAGGGAAACAAATTAGTCACATAGCCCTGCAAGCCACATTCCTGCACACACATGCTAACATTGAAAAATATAAATTGATTGAATTAACTTACTTGTTGTGGCCAAATTAAGAAGAAAAACCTAATTAACTTACTATGTGGATAGAGAAGAAATTTATTACCCTAGAGCATGTGGATTTTTGTTGTTTACAAACAAACTAACTGGGTCACCATAAGGAGAAATTAAAAATTTCATGCTGGTTTTCAATGAATATAAGATTTCATTGCAAATTATTAATTCAGAAATAAAGTTTATATAATTGAAAATTGTCATTTGAGCCACTGGAAGCTGAAACCAGATGCAAAATTTGCATAATTTATTAGCATTTATTCTTTGTTATCCTTGTTGGATGTAAGCTCCACCCACATCCCTGGCCAGTTTGTCACATGTTTGCTATAATATCTTGTCATGTGACAATAAAGATGTCAGTATCAGTACATTGTCCAACTACACTGGAAAATTCAATTTCATCTCCTGTAGTGACAATACATATGTCAATTATCTGGTTATTTACTTGTTTACTGTCATGAATAATTCTTAATTTGTTATTTAAAAATGTATTTAATTCTAAAATTAAAATTTTCAGGAATTGAAAAGGTTTTGCCTTGAGGAGACATGATAAACTTTTTAAAACAAGATATACTAGTGTTACTATCAAGCATTTTTAGGACTACACTTGCAGTTCAAAATAACTTTTGGGGATAATAATTGTTTATTTAAATTTGCAATAAAAATTCACTAGAAACTAAACAAACTGTCTGTGTAACAATCTTTTTACACACACAAATAGGCTCATAAAACAAGGGTATTAAATGAAATTAGTTTCTTGGAATTGACATTTTGATTTCTATGGTAATGACAGAGAGTTTTATCACTTGTTTTTTTTGCCTCAATTTAGATACTTCATGTTTCTGGTCCCAAATCATGTGTTAGTCCTTGAAACTGTAAACAAATCATTGTTAATGAAAGGCTTTTGTCTCTATCAGAAAAAAAATTCACACAGAATTATTTCCATCAGATGCAAAAGATTAGTTATGTAAAGAATATTTTAGCCATAGTATTGTAAGGTCTATTCCTAAGATAACAGTTTACTACAATGAACCTATCAGACTCTGTTTTAGAAGGAAAATGGACAGAAAGTCATAAGACAAAAATTTACAAAATTAAACGAACAAAAATTAGAATTTGATAAATTTTATATAAAAATGATAATGAACGATTGGTAATCATTATTTTTACATTAAGTTTCTTCAAAATTTTTATTGTTTCAAAATTAAATTATCAAAATTGTTGACTACAAAGTTTGTCTGAAAGTTGATTAATGTATGAAAGTTTACGCAAAAATACAAAAATGATTTATAAAATGTAAAAATAAGGAGATGTGGCATGATTGCCAATCAGACAAATATCCACCAAAGTTCAGATGATGTGGATGTAATCAATTAAAGGTAATTGTACGGCCTTCAACAATGAGAAAAACCCATACCATATATTGCGCTATAAAAGGCCCCGACATAAGTGGATGTAATCAATTATAGGCAATTGTACGGCCTTCAACAATGAGAAAATCCCATACTGTATATTGCGCTATAAAAGACCCCAACATACAAAATATGAGACAATTCAATCCAGAAAACTTAACGGCCTAATTTATAACAAAACAATTTATGAAAACAAAAATGTGGCAGACATGAACCAACAACAACCACTGCACTACAGGCTCCTGACTTGGGACAGACACATATAGAATATGGCGGGGTGAAACATGTTTGAAGGGGCCAACCCTCCCCTAATCTGGGACAGTGGTGATACAGTACAACATAAGAAAAGGGCTTAACTCATCAGATCTACACAAAGCAGAAAAACATCTAACAAAAACACAGACCAGACATGGCAGGTTATTTATACATTCCTAAAAACAAAAAAGACACTAAGTACAAATCTTAGAGTACTCACAGTTACTGACAGCTATTTCAGAGCTAACAAGTAATGAAAAAATCTTGTATCTAAGACTAAAAATGTTATTTTGAATTTTTTTTCTTGTGACTTTCTGTGCTTCATCTGTTTTAGGGTTTGCCAGATATTACCCAAAGTTTTAGAAATCAAGAGCTCTATTATTGTACTGTTGTACAAAGGAAATTTCTGTTATATTTTAATTTGTTTTCTAAAAGAAAAGATTCATAACATAATATGTTAAATTATTTCCAAGATATTAATTTTTGTTTTATTTGGGGATTTTTAATTTACAATGATAAACAAAAGACCTATATATATAAATTCTTTGGAAAAATAACCCAGGCCACATGATGTCATAAAAAAAGTCAATATCTGTTTAAATTAAAACGGTTTCAAGAAAAGCTGAAATTCACACCCTCTCTATTTCAAATAAGAGTATAAGATCAATGCAGTAACACACAGACCTTTTGATATATTATTTATAGTTTTTGATATAAACATTCAATGAAATTGAAAGGCAAGAGTCACTTTAAATATGTTTTACATGAAAGTAAGGCAAAATATTTGCAGATTTGATTTAAAAAAAACATATCCTCACAATATCTAAACATTGTGAAAAATATTCAAAGTTTTTAGACGTTGTAAGCTGCATTTTTTCATATTCGAAACAGATTATTTTAAACTTTAATTCATTTATTTGCTGTTTGATACTTAATGAAAAGATATAAATGATTATTATTTTAGAACTGGAATGTTATAGAATAATTTCAGACAGACTATGTAATTGATTGTAGAATTTTGTCCTATAAAGTCGAACAGGGGGTGGTATTTGTCTGTAGAAACATATTTTTATTTAATCTTATTAATATATAAGTATTTTATCTTAATTAGCATCATTGTATACAGGTAATTATCTAGGAATGTGGGGGATTTTTACAAAGATTATACCTGTATTCATTACATAACAGATTAGCACCCAGTAATCTTATTAATGGGGGTCTAGGTTAAACTAAAAAATGTACGCTTTATTTGTTGAGTGGAACATCCACTTTTATTCGTATTTACTTAGTTTGGTCTTTTTTATATGGATTTGATATGGGATTTTGAGTTAAAATCTGAGTAACAGCAACCAACAATGCAATCACACCTAATATAGACATCTAGAGGTTATGATACAGATGTGCATACAATAAAGCTAGCCCTATATGTCCTAAGTCTAGCCAAATTGTAAATGAGACCAATCTATACATCTATATAAAGCTTTTCCCTAAATGATTCCAGATATGCTACATAGAATTCATATTTTTTGTTCTGCAAATTTGTTTTGAAAAACAGAAAACTGCTTTTCCTTTAATAATAAATTATATTTGAATAAGTTTCAAGATACTTTTTTTTAACTAATCTGATGTTTCCATAACTATGGAGAAAATAAAGAGAATAGTAAATAGTAATATTGATAAATCTACTTTTTGCCAAACAATTGTCTAGTGTTTTACTTGTTTAATTCAAAGCAATAATCTTATCTATAATCTTATCTAACAGATATTGCAAACTTTTTTTTTCAAAATTGGCTGTCCATCTTAGAACATATCTGTTACACACTGTTAATAATTATTAAAAAAATCCTATAAATAATTATCAGCTTCTGGTAGTAGTATCAGGTATATGTGTCTGTAAAAATAATGAACTTGGTCTCAGTAGCAAATTTTTTAAGGTAAATTAATTATTTGTGTCACCAAAATGCTATGAGAACAGAAAATACTTGCTGGTTTTCAAGATTTTGACTTTCTTCACAACAGGGTTACATGACTTTATTTATTTTCCCCATTTGTATGTATAAATCAACATTTCATTGACTAGGCAATGTCAAATTTTTCTCTGTATAAGGGTTGAATGCAGAAAAGCTTCTTTTTCACTTTAGCCAATACAGAGTTATTGAAATTTAATTATTAGAACTCTATGGAACAAAAATTACCTCAAATTTTTTCCTGAAGTAAGCTGTTGAATGAATGGCTGTGGCAATAGAAACACATTTTCCTTTATAGACCTATAATGGTTTACTTTTATAAATTTTGACTTGGATGGAGATTTGTCTCATTGGCACTCATACCACATCTTCTTATATCTATTCACATTAAAAATCAGCTATTATAGTTTTCAGCTCACCTTACCCAAAGGGTCAAGTGAGCTATTCTCATCACTTGTGTCTGTCGTCCCTCATCCATTGTTGTCCATTAACCTTTACTAATTGAATAGAACAAGGGGTTAAATGCAAGTTTTGTCTGTTTTCTTGGACATTGCTATAGATAGAGATTAAAAGTTATTGCCCTTGAATGGCAATTATTACACATTATTTGTATTTTGTACAAACACTATAGTAGATCGAGAAAAACTGAAAACAGAAAAAAATTATCAGCAATACAAGATCAACAATAAAGAGATCTTAGTCATGAACTATATTCTAGTCTTTAATGTTGGAGAGTGGCTATTGTTGAAAATGCACATTGATCCAGGAGACCAACACAGGCTCTGAAAAGTCCCCAGTTTAAGTTTTTTATCTAAGTTGTAAAACGTATTGCTGAGTGGTGATTATTTACATTTTTAGAAAAGGTTAAACGTGTATACAGAATTGTAATCTATTACAATTAATTATATTTGTAGCCAAAATTATCCATATGTCAAATGAAAGCCAACAATTAAGTATGTTTTTTTATTCATAGGTATTTTACCAAACAAGAATTAAAGGAGCTGTTCGAGCTTAATAATTCACGGGTATCATCTACACAACAACAGTTAGAAGAAATGCATAGTGGCTTCAGGAAGACAGATCAGTCATTGGATGCTCATATAGCATATCTATACTCTCTAGGTAAATATTATGGTACATTGTGGGTTTAGATAAACACACCAGTTGTTGGATGCTCATATAGCATATCTATACTCTTTAGGTAAATATTATGGTACATTATGGGTTAAGATAGACCCACCAGTCATTGGATGCTCATATAGCATATCTTATACACTCTAGGTAAATATTATGGTACATCATGTACATGGTGGGTTTAGATAGACACACCAGTTGTTGGATGCTCCCTTTGTAAACATTTCAGTCTTCGATACATTATTTTTTGTTTCGCTTTGATGTGGTCATGGTCTCTTGATTTTGAAAGTTTTGCTTAGTTTACATGTAATAGTTTGTGATTTGGTCAGTTTATGGGGAACCATTAGTGGTAGGTCAATGATATTCGGTAGGCAGATGTATTAGCATTGGCACTTCTCATTTCCATGGAGATAATTTTGCTCCCCCCTTCAGTGGTGGTCTATTGACAATATTTTGCATAGTTTACATGATAAAGTTTGTGATTAGACCAGTTAAAGATAAACCACTAATGTTAAGTCAGTTACATTTGGTATGAAGTTATATAAGCATTTGCAAGTCTCATTTCCATGGATATTATATGGCCCCACCCTATCATCATGGTTCATTGTGTCTTACTTTTAAAAGTTAAAGTTTGTGTTTAAGTTAGTTTAAAGGGAACCGCTTATGATAAGTCAATTTTATAATTTTATACGGTTTAATAAGCATTGGCATTTCTCATTTCCATAGAGGTTATTTGGCATGGCACCTTCAGTCATGGTTCATTGACTTTGAATGTTTTGTATAGTTTATATGTTTGAATATTGCCATTTTAATTTCAACATTGCTTTCTACTATCAAAATTATAAAAAGCTAGACATATTTCTGTTTAAACTGTTTATTATAGTTTGTTCTTATGTTGTGCTGTTCAGGGGAGGGTTGGGTGCCCACAAACATGTTTAACCCCATCACATTTTGTATGTGCCTGTCCCTAGCCAGGAGTCTGTAATTCAGTTGTTGTCATTTGTTGCTGTATATCATATTAGTTTTTCGTTAATTATTTTGTACATAAATCAGGCAGTTAGTTTTCTTGTTTGAATTGTTTTACATTTGTTATTCTGTTTTCACAGGAAGATAGCACATGTGTGGAAGTTGTGCCCCTGTTTCTCATTTTTCCAGACTTAAGACTTAGTAATTTTTCAGCAAAATCTATGCAAGAGGTTACAAGTTTTGTGTGATTAACTCCTCCTACAGTTTCCACCCAGATCCCTGAAACATTACAGGATATTGCACTTATGTTGAAGTTGTGCACCTGCTATTATTGAAGTGTTTGAGGAATTTTTCTCATTTTTGCAAACTTGGGAAATTTTTCCATTTTCAAATATTTATATGTTCAGTATAGAACATTCTCTATTGTTTAAGAAAAATTCTGCTTAACCCTGCCATTTGAATTTTTAATCTGTTTTCATATTATATAGCAATAGAAAATAGTACCGTAAGTTAAGGTAACCTTGTATAATTGTAGGTTTTTAAATATATACCAAAATAATGACTTATAATCAAATATTAAATGTAAAAATGTTCCTTCATTGGATATCTTTAAATGCTAAAAAATACTGTATAATTTATATAAATATAACCTTTTTGTCTTGCTTGACGGAGTCAAAAAGCGAGACATAGGTATGCTGTTTCCGGTGTCAGTGACGACGGCGTCAAAAATGTATTAGTTTGTGATTAGGTCTAGTTCGTGGTGAACCACAAGTTGTTGGTCAATGATATTTGGAATACAGTTGTATTAGCATTGGCACATCTCATTTCCATGGAGATTATTTGGCCCTGCCCCCTCAGTCATGGTCTATTGACTTTGAAACTTTTGCTTATTTTACATGTATTAGTTTGTGATAAATTCAGTTTATGGGGAACCATTAGGGTAGGTCAATGATATTTGGTATTCAGTTGTATTAGCATTGGCACATCTCATTTCCATGGAGATTATTTGGCCCTGCCCCCTCAGTCATGGTCTATTGACTTTGAAACTTTTGCTTAGTTTACATGTATTAGTTTGTGATTAGGTCAGTTTATGGGGAACCATTAGGGTAGGTCAATGATATTTGGTGTACAGTTGTATAAGCGTTGGCATATCTCATTTCCATGGAGAATATTTGGCTCAGCCCCCTTTGTCATGGTCTATTGACTTTGAAAATTTTGCTAAGTTAACATGTATTAGTTTGTGATTAGGTCAGTTCAAGGGGAACCATTATCAGTAGGCCAATGTTAATTGGTATGCAGTTGTATAAGCATTAGCACATCTCATTTCAATGGAGAATATTTGGCCCCATCCCCTCAGTCATGGCATATTGACTTTGAAACTTTTGCTTAGTTTACATGTATTAGTTTGTGATAAGATCTCAATGATATTTGGTATGCAAATTTATTGGCATTTGTAAGTATCGTTTCCACTGAGATTATAAAGCTCCAACCCCTCTTCATGGTTCATTGACTTTGCAACTTTTACATAGTTTACAAGTTAATGTTTGTGTTTAGGTTTGTTTAAGGGAACAACTCATAATAAGTCAATGATATTTGGTATGCAGTTGTATTAGCATTGGCGCATCTCATTTACATGGAGATGGTTTAGCCATGTACATCAGTCATGGTTCATTGACTTTGAATATTAGCCTAACTTGTTAAGTATTGCCATTTTAATTTCAACATTTGCATAATCAAAATTACAAAAAAGCGAGACATATCTCTGTGATAACAGTTTATAATTTATTTAAATTATTTATTCCCAAGATATATTTGGTATATCTGACCATGACCTCATGTTTGGTAAGGTCAAGGACAATGTGGATGATATTGATGAGGACAATCAAGAAGAATGCCAAGGCAATGACTATATTCAGGCCAGGGTAAGATTAGTATAATTGTGTTGTATAGGGTGAAAAATCTTACATAAGAAGAAAGTTAAATTAGGAAAATTCTAAAGCCTAAGGCCAAACACACCTAAAGTGTATTTGGTGTTTATGTAAGCAAGGCCCATTTAACTTTTGCTTGTCATAAAAAGACAATGATAACCGTATGTCCAATACAAGTTTTGCCAAACCTGCTTGTAATATTGCAATACATACTGATAATTTGTGTCAATTATCCTGTAACTTCAAATATTTATTTACATGCTAAATCAGGACAAAGGGAACGTGAAATTAGCTTTCATCGGTGAGGGGAACGGCATCCAGGCAATAAAAAGTCAGGCGTTACACTTTCTATTCTCTATCAAAACTATAAATAGTTAGTTGGTCCACTTTCTATGCCCTATTGACATTGTTTCTGTTAACTCGTAATTGAAAATATCTCTCTTCAGGGTAACGATCCAATCCCCTCCTCTCCACCCTTGGCAGATTAAGCCATCATTTGTGATTACAATGCTGTACCATCTACCGGTAGATAAAAGTCACGTCCATTCCGACTACATTATTCTTGACCAATGACAGCACTTGAACTCTCTTCAATGTGGTGGTGTAAAATGGTTGTGTCTAGTGTTTAAAAATTTTGTAAAGCAGGAACCGAAAAAACACGTTGAACTTCCAACATTTATGCAAGAAACATATCCAGGAACTTTAATTCCTTGATTAAGAACTTTAGAATTGTTACTAAATATCGTCCTATGTTTTGGGGGTAAAGACTTGTTGCAAAATCAGCATGTGCAATTGTTTATTTACATTTTCTACATTTGCATGTGATCATCTTAAAGGCGCTTTTTGATTGGATGCAGCCAGTTACAACTGCAACCAATGGAAATAATTAACCTGTGGATCCGAAATTCTATCTCAATCCGCCAAGGGTGGAGAGGAGGGGACTGGATCGTGACCCTTGGTAGCGAAGATGATATCTCTTAAAACAAGATGTACAATCTTAATTTGCATGAGAATGCTATTTATTTAGCAGGATAACATCCAAGCAAAATTAGCTCAGTTTGAGATCAAGATTTCACAAAACCTTTATTTTTATTTAGACTAGTTTTCATTAAGAATAACCAAACAGAAATATCAACTCTCCAGATATGTAAAAAATTGTGTGTGGCTTAGACATTTTTCATTGTTTATTGAAAACTTGTTCTTCTTTGTTACATTTGTTTCATTTTACTTCTAGTATCAAATTCTTAAAAACTAATTCAAGGACTACCAATCATTTAATAGAAAAACACTGGATATGGGGTATCCATCCATGACACAAAATCAGTACATGCACAGCAAAAAAGACACAAAAAGCAAAGGAACAGCGCTTTTATTGCTGTTCTTCATCTCAAAGTCACAGTGAGGCCTTCAACACGGAGCAAAAAAGCAAATTTAAGACAGCCCCTAGCACCGGCGGAATTCTTTGCAAAAATAATTTGGATAGACTTTGTAAGACATTACATAACCAAATCGGCCCCAGTTAAAATAAGAACATACTGGAAAGTAGTACATATTTAAAACAAAATAGTTCATAAGCATAGGTGTAAATATAAAACTATGTAGAATATATTTCAGTAATTAAGGTATCAGATGAAAGGTGAAGGACTGGTGATCCTTGTAGAACACATATTGACTGATAATTTTTAATAATACAAAAATGTACAATTGGATGCTAAAATTGAGGGCATATCTTGCCTGTTTCTATGTTTAGTATCTTTTCCCAAATATTCTTCTATGGAGAAAGCTATCACTTATTGTAATTGCAGGTACAAAAAGCTCAGGAGCTTTTGCAGATGGAATCTAATCTGTCTCAGCCAATGTCACAATATCCATCAGAGGGCCAATCAAACAGACCCAGAGGACCATCTGAGTGGAATATGCCTACAGGTTTGTACATAAGAGAGTCAATTTATCAGACTCAGAGGACCATCTGAATGGAATATGCCTACAGGTTAGTTCATAAGATGGTCAATCTAAAGGACACAGCACCAAAGAAGTTGACAATACATGTAGGTTTTTTAATGAATTGGCAAATCTAACAGACCAAAAGTAGAATATATCTACTTGTTTGAAGTGTCAATCAAAGATACTTTTAGGATGGTAAATGTAAAAACTCCTTCTTGTTTATAAATCAAAGATGGAATCAAAAAGCACACAAACAACACAAGAGAGGAATATGTCCACAGATTTGAAATTCATGAAATGGACACATAGTTCTAAAACATTCATTTGTGTGTACATCAAAGGACTATGTAGACAGAGAGGACAAGTTGAATATGTCAACAGGTTTGTACATAAGAGGGCAAATTGAGCAAACTCAGAGGACAATGGAAGGTCAATCAGTAAGCTTAAGCTTTCAGGTTTGTACATATATTTATAATTAAGGGAAACATCAAGTTGAATAATTGAATTGTAGGGCTAGGATTTTTCTTTAGGATTTATATTATCATTTTCCCAAGTATATCAATCAAACAGTACCTAAGATTCATAAGAGTAGAGGTAGGCTGCTTTCTTTAATCTCTCAGTTTTTGCATGTTTGCATATCACACATACAAAAAAGGCATATCAAAACTAAACATATGATTTAATATTTTGATTTATCAAAATAACGTAACTTTTTTATCTGTTTCTTCCAGTAACATCTGTTCCAGATGGAGGTCCAGATGACGTTATTGACCTTAATAAAGATGATGACAATGTTGATGAAGATTCTGATGATGATTCTGATACAGAAATGGTTGATCTGACAGAAACACCACAGAAAAAGGTGAAAAAAATTCATTGTTGATTAAGAAAGCAGAAAACAATATATTATGGGGAAGATGGTCCCAAAACAAATACTGTATTGCTTTATAAAGTCCCTCAATCAATATTTTCATTTATTTTTTTCTTTATTCTTTTTCGTTAAGTCTCTTTAACAATTTTGGATTCTTTTTATTCTTCTTCTTCACTGCAACTGAACTTGGCCACCTCAGTTCTCAGAATCTACAAGTGAGATGTAATCTTTCACTAAAGAAATCTATGAAATTTAGTGCCTCAATAATGAATCCAAAGTATGTCAACCACTGAATAAACACAGTGCATTCTATATCAGTTATCATCCCTGTAGATTTTAACAACCATACCCTATTGCTGTAGAAGGGTAAGTATATCTTGATCTGGATACAAATGGTATCGTCCCATTGCTGTGGTAACAACAAAAAATGTTTCAAAGACATTTCCATTTGACACACATCTAAACAAAATCAACCAATTTTATTGGTGACCATAAATTTTCTGTCCCCATAACAGTTATTTAGACTAGATAATGTAAAAGTTTAAAATTATGCAAGTTGTTACAAAAAGAAAATAACTCTTTATGAATTAGTTGCGTCTAAAGTGCTTTTCTGGCATCATGGTCATCAGGAACACTTAAAGCTAAAATTGAAAGCCAAGGATGTATAAGTACTTGAAAACATAAAGAGCTTTTAATATGATAAAAAAGAACATAAAAGAATAGGCAAAAATCAATCATCAATCTAAGGTCAACTTTGTCTGAGGCAGTTTGAACCTTAGTTTCTTAACAACTTCTACATTTAAGAATGGAGAATCTTTAAACAGGTATGTTATAAATCATGTCAGTACCAAAGTACTGACTACTGAGCTGATGATATCCTCACAGACTAGCAGTCCACCAGCAGTAGTATCAAGCCAGCGTTAGTAAATGTTTATTATGTTCTGCATTGTAGACTTCTGAAGACGAAAGACAGAGAGTGCCACCTATTGGTCATATCAAACAAGAAATATTTCAGGAGATCGATGATGATTTACCAAGTTTAAGTTCTAGAAACATAAAACGAGAAGAATCAAGCCCTAGGATTAAATTAGAACCATCTGATCCGGCAGTAAAAAAGGAACCAGAAAGTCCGGGAATAAATTCAGAAAATTCTCACTCAGAGTTTATTGATGTAGAAATTAAGTCCGAACCCAAAAGTCACATACAGCAATCTGAACCTATTTGTTTGGACTCCGATGAAGAAATACAAGACAGTAATGAAACTAATGAAAGTTTTTCAAAGGGAAATGACAAAACAGAAGAAATTCTAATTGAAAATAATCAAGAAAATAGTGTACATGGAAACCATGATAATAAAAATATAAATATGGAAAATGAAGATGATATTCAGAATTTAGAAACCAGTTTGTCAAATATTCATTGTGATGATGATGTCATGATGACATCACCATCAAAAACACCAATGAAAAAGCAGACTGTAGAAATGATGATGGACTCACCTATGAAGGTCGATTCAAATGAGATTAAGAATTTGTCTATACTCAAATCACCTTTGAGAAGTATTGAAAATTTGCAAGTGGATTCTGAAGAGGATATGAATACCTCTATACAAAAAACACCATTGAAAAGTAGGGGAAATTTAAATACTGAATCAGAGGATGCAGAAATGGCATCTCCTGCATTGAAATCTCCTGTGAAAACAATAGAAACTATGGCTAAAGGGTTAGGGTCAGCCGTAAAATTGTTTGGAAATCAAATTTCAAATACTGTTTCAAGCATTGTTAATATGGTGACTCCAGAGAAACAGAAAACTCCTGCAAAGAATAAAAGGAGGAGTGTATGTGCAAGTCCATGGTTGGCCAAAACACCCAAAGCTGGAAAATCAAACGTTGTTAATGAAGAATTGCTTATCTCCCCTGATGCCAATCGCCCATTGATGTCAGTTGGTAAAAAATTTAATATCCCTTTGACATCACAAGCGTTAACTGAAGCTAGAATGAACTCCACAATAATGTCAGCATTTGCTGATAGTCCTGCTCTGGACAGTAGATCTGCCGACAGCTCGCATAGTAGTGGGGGGTCTCTTGGGGAAAATTTTGTGGAGGAGTCACCATCACCAAAGAAACGATTACATGGAGCCTTGGTTCAAGATTCTCCTTTGAACAGCTGTGATACTTCAAGGGCAGAAGAATCTGCTAGTGTTGTCATAGATTCTCAACAAAATACACCAGCTGTGATCAGTAACAAATCTGTGATAAGTGACCTTGACATTGACAGTACCCCTAAACGTCTTTCACACTCTAAACAAAGTACAAACTGTATTGATGATTCCATGAATTACGAATCAGATGAAAGTGGTAAGTCACCTGAAATTAAATCAATGGTTGATGAATCTGTAAATAATAATTCAGATGAAAATGAGAACTCCCTTCAATCTAATCAAACTGTTGAAAGTCCTCTCAATGATATGTCTGATGATAACATTAATGAAAGTCCTATAGCTACTGTCAACAGGAAAAAGAGGAAAGCTGTCATTGACAGTTCTGATGAGGATGATAGTGAGGAGGAAATTGTAGATGAAGAAGAGGAAGTTTTAGAAAAAGGCGGGAAAGTTCAAAAACCTTCAAGGTCACGACACAATGTAGTAAGTGATGACAGTGACAATGATTCCATAAATGGTGCTAAACAAACTTCTAAAGTAAACAAAAAGAACTTGATTGAAGATGAAAGTGAATCTGATGATGAGTATGATGAAGATGACAGCTTTATTGATGATGATGAGGATGATGAAATGTCAGATGAAGAAGTTTCTGAAAGTGAGGAAGATGAATCTGAGGAAGAAGGTAGGTTATTTCTATGTATGGGAATAAGTGAAAAAATCATGGTCAGTCCACATTGTAAATATAGAATAGTATACATAGGTATTGATTGGCACAATTTGAGCAAGAGTTACTTCCCTTTCATTGCCCTGTATGAGGTCTACATGCACAAATTCCTTTTTAAATTGACAAAATTCAACTTGTTATACTGACCGCTAGACTTTTGAAAAAGTTGTTTTCTGAACAATTTTTATTGTCTCGCCTGCGACGAAAGTCGCAGAAAGTGAGACATAGGTATTACTATCTGGCGGCGGCGGCGGCGGCGACAGCGGCGTAAACTATTTGTATAAAGCTTTATATTTCAGAAGGTAGAAGACCTGGATGCTTCATACTTTGTATGCAGATACCTTATGTTACGAACTTTCCGTCTGTCATATGTCCAATGTCCTTGACCTTATTTTCATGGTTCAGCGACTGCTTGAAAAAAAAGTTTAGTTTTTTTGTTATGTAAATTTCTCACTTATTATGAGTAATAGGATAACTATATTTGGTATATGGGTTCCTTGCAACGTCTACATGTCCATCAGACAGGGTTCACCTGACCTCAGCCTCATTTCATGGATCAGTGATCAAGGTTAAAGTTACGTGATTAGGTCCGTTTCTCAGATACTACAAGCAGTAGGTCAGCTATATGTGGTGTATGGAATGATTATAAGGGATACATGTCAGTCTGGCAGGTTTCATCTGACCTTGACCTCATTTTCACGGTTCATTGGTCAATGTTAAGTTTTTGTGTTTTGGTCTGTTTTTCTAATACTATAAGCCATTGGTCAACTATATTTGGTGTATGGAATGATTGTAAGGTGTACATGTCTGTCTGGCAGGTGTCATTTGTCCTTGACCTATTTTCATGGTTCATTGGTCAATGTTAAGTTTTTGTGTTTTGGTCTGTTTTTCTAATACTATAAGCAATAGGTCAACTATATTTGGTGTATGGAATGATTGTAAGGTGTACATGTCTGACTGGCAGGTGTCATTTGTCCTTGACCTCATTTTCATGGTTCATTGGTCAATGTTAAGTTTTTGTGTTTTGGTCTGTTTTTCTAATACTATAAGCAATAGGTCAACTATATTTTTTTAACCGTCAGTCACATGTCCAATGTCCTTGACCTCATTTTCATGGTTCAGTGACTACTTGAAAAAAAAGTTAAGATTTTTTGTAATGTTAAATTCTCTCTTATTATAAGTAGTAGGATAACTATATTTGGTATGTGCGTACCTTGCAAGGTCCTCATGCCCGTCAGACAGTTTTCACTTGACCTTTACCTCATTTCATGGATCAGTGGAGAAGGTTAAGTTTTGGTGGTCAAGTCCATATCTCAGATACTATAAGCAATAGGTCTAGTTTATTTAGGTGTATGGAATGACTGTAAAGTGTACATGTCCAACTGGCAGGTGTCATCTGACCTTGATCTCATTTTCATGGTTCAGTGGTTATAGTTAAGTTTTTGTGTTTTGGTCTGTTTTTCTTATACTGTATGCAATAGGTCTACTATATTTGGTGTCTGGAATGATTGTAAGGTGTACATGTCTAGCTGGCAGGTGTCATCTGGCCTTGACCTCATTTTCATGGTTCAGTGGTCAAAGTTATGTTTTTGAGTTTTGGTCTTTTTTTCTAATACTATATGCAATAGTTCAACTATATTTGGTGTATGGAAATATTTTATGATCTATATGTCATTCACGCAGGTTTTATTTGACCTTGATCTCATTTTCAAGGTTCATTGCTCAGTGTTAAGTTTTTGTGTTTTGGTCTGTTTTTCTTAAACTATAAGCAATAGGTCAACTATATTTGTTGTATGGAAGAATTGTTAGCTGTACATGCCTGCCTAGCATGGTTGATCTGACCTTGACCTCATTTTCATGGTTCATTGGTCAATGTTTAGTTTACTTGGTTAATGTTAAGTTTATTTGACAGTTGTAATAAAAGGACTATCAACATAATATCAATGATTAGTAAAGAAGGCGAGACATTTCAGCGTGTGCACTCTTGTTTCTTTTAGCATTGCTTGCTTAATTCATCAATACAATCTAGAAAGGAGATGCTTAATTCATCAATACAATCTAGAAAGGATCTCCTATTAGACTTGTTTATACCAAATGTTTCAATTTGCTTAGTCAAATAAGAAAATTTACCACTTACCCCTCCAAAATAGTGATCAAGGGAAATAACTCTATCTCAAAATACATCATTTTGATACCTATCTATTGAAGCTTGCACTGGTCTGTGTTTTATAATTTAATTACAGGTAGTCAGTGTTATTCAGATTGATATTTCAGAATTAAGAATAAGGAGATGTGGTGTGAACATCAATGAGACAATAACCCAGTGACACAAATAACCAAAAGAGGTCAACAATTACAACTTTTGTTAATTTTTATAAATGTACTGCAATTGAGAAAACCAAAATAGAACTTTATGTATAATTTTAAGATATGATTACTTATATATACGTGTATTATCACCTTGCCAATTGAGTGTAATGGCATTAAAATAAAATATAACATGGTTATGCCAAGCTTCTAGAATGATCATTTTCACACATCTAGTATGTACAACATAAGAATAAGAATATATAATTCAAACATAAAAATTGGTAGGGTCTATTTGATTCATTGATTACTATCACTGAAGCAGGAAATACAAGGAATCATTTAGAAGATCCTCTTTCTGTTTCTGTTTTTGTAGATCTGCTTTTTTAATTTTTGATCTGAGTAATTTGGGGCTTACCATACCAAAACATGGACTCTGTCATTTCTGTTAAATAATATGAAGACTATAGGCTACAAGCATCTTCCTGGGCAAACTCACACATTTTATTGTAATAGAAAAGTGTGGTTGAGTGATGCAAACAGATGATGTATTTTTCATATTTTATACAACTTCTGTTTTAGATTTTGACAGTCTTTCAGATGATCAAAAGAAAAAGTTTAGCAGATATGTAAAGACAGGAAGGTAATACTGTGTATAACAATAGGAATATGTAGGGGCAGTCATCATCTTGCGTTCAATATCATGTGCGAACGAAAAAGTCTAAAACACAGCAGTCTACAAGCACTGCCATAAAAACTATAGATTTGGCCAAAATTAAAATTTAGTTTGTTTCCCCTTACCCGACCGACCCTCTAAAAATCCGCCGACTGAAATAATTTTTTTCGATAATCACGTTGTTGCTTTTTTTTTTTTTTCGTTTCGCTCAAAAGTTCCATTTTTAATTTCGTTTCCTTGAATGGTCCGTATTTTCAACATTCCGCGAAATCATTGTCGCCCGTGTGTTTGCTGGAAAGGGTAAACAACGTGTGCAAGGATACTGAAATTGGAATGGAATAATGTTTTAAATAAATGCATCCGAGCAATCTAAACTACTCTTCCATTCTAGCTACACCTCCAATAACAAGATGGGTAGCGAGAATGGCCGAGTAGTTACGATTGCGCATCCGAGCTCACCCTTGAGCTTAAATGTTAGGCCCGGTGTTTCTGCCGTGTTTGTGGTAAATCCCTGAGTTCGCCTTTATCAGTGGTTGACTCAATAAGTTGTATATTGGCGTGCTATTTATGCTATTTTGTTTCATTTCGTATGTGATATTGGACCATACACTAGTTGTCTTTGGATAAAATAGTAGTTGATTTTTTACGAGCTCAGTATCATATTGTGTTGTGAAAAGTCGAGATGACTATACCAGCTAATGCTTTGATAAAAGTTCTTGTAAGTTCTTATGTTTTTTATAAGCTATAATGGGCTGATGATTAAATATGGTCACACATTCAGGGTTTTGTGAAATAAGATGCCAGTGTTTCATTATTATATTTTTAGTTTCTGTATAGATGGGTTGAATTTTGTTAACTTTACTAGCGGTTGCTCCCGTTTCGCTGGTAGATGTGTTAGCAAGTTTTCCCTTTCTGTATTTTGTGTTTGATAAAAAAAATCGTTGATTTCAGATATTTGATAATCTCGTTTGAGCTTCTTACTGTTTTTTTAAGATCAGTTTTGCTGCTTGTGTTTCTGAGCAGGGCTCGACAATAACGCTTGTCCGATTGTCCGGTTACAGAGGAAAAAAAGGTCGGACAAGTAAAAGCTATATCAAGCTTGTCCGACGGGACAAGTAAAATTATTCTACAGAAAATAAATTAAATCCAACTTTGACGAACAAAGTAATCATTATTATAAACAAAAAACAAGAAAAGAAGATAAAAACAAGTTTTAATTTGACATGTTTACTTGCAATCGATAATTTAAAACTTGTTCTTTGTCAGGTACTTTTTAACAGGTAAAGGCATACTATTCTCGGAAACCAGTGTTACTGATCCGAATCAGTGATGCCTTTGTAGATAAGGTAACTTTACAAGACATTGTGTCACCAGCTCGGAAACAATTCAGCTTCAAGTTTAATAGACAGTTTGGCACCATAGGAGACACATTTAATAGACATGATTAATAGACAGTTTGGCAGTTTGGCACCTTGGAGACACATTTAATAGACATGATTAATAGACAGTTTGGCAACGCAGGAGACATTTTGGACCAAAAAAATCAGTACCTCGTTTTCCTACCTTATTCTGTTGCTTTATAATAAATACCATACTGGTAATTTTTTTAACAAAAATATTTTTTAAATAAAAATTAAATTATTTACCATAAAATTTACAAAATCATATTTGATCATATGTAGAAAATAAATAATACTTGCAATACGGTGACCTATAATTGTTAATTTCTGTGTCATATGAACTCTTGTAGAGAGTTGTCTCATTGGCAATCATACCTCATCTAATTTTTTATTGCATTTGAATAAACTTTTTTCAACTTAAAAAACCAGGATACAAATCCAATGAGTGTACATTGACAGGCCTATCAGACGGTGCCTCATGTGCAGAGTCTGATGAGACTTTGGCATTGATGAAAACTAGAACCTAAGTCCTGTGACATGACTAGATTCAGTTGTTCTCTACTCATATTTTTGAAAAGTATTTCAAAAGATATAAATCAAATTCTGTTCTATTGTTTTAATTCATTTTGTTCCTTGCGTCAACTAAAAATTCAAAAAAAGTTATTATTGAAATTTATTTTGGACAAGTAACAATTTCATTCGGACAAGTAAGTTTTGGTATGTAGTTGTCCTACTGGACAAGTTGAAAAAAAAGTTATTGTAGAGGCCTGCTAAGATACCTCAATACTTCACCCTTGATAAATCCTTTCAATGAAAACACTTTTTGGGTGTGAGCAGTGTCTGTGCAGATATTGATATGTTTCAGTTGGTTTGATATTGGTTTTAATGTCTTGTATCATACTATGCCTTCGTTAAAGAATCTTTCTCCTTTGTATAATTATGACAGTGTCTAAGAATATTGTTTCATTACAGGAAAATTCGTAGGTGAACTTCAATTATCATTATCATTTTGTTTCTCTGTGTTGAAAGCGTTGTAAAATGTGTTCAAGAATTTACAAACATTGTAAGGACTGCTAACTCAGCGAATGCTGATCCGCACATAGGCACGCCCAAGGTTTCATGGTAAAGTTTATTGTTAAAAATAAATTCATAGTTTTCTAGAATAAGCCTTAATAGGCGTAGTCATACTCGCTTGGATCACGGTTTGTGGCTTCTAGTATTTCCTTAAATGAAAAACAAGTGTACATATTTTTTGCATCGAATGTTACTAGGTAGCAGTCTCGTTGGGGTTTTATATTTTCAATTGAATTAATAAAACTATAAGAAAAATATATCAATTTATATGTGGTCTACTCTAAGTCACAAAGACATTGATATTTACAAACATTTTCTAGTCTGAAATTGTAAGGTCTTCTAGTCATGCATAAAACGTTATACAGTATGTTGTTTTAGTATCAATAAAGTTCAATTTGTTGTTTTTCTGTGTTTTCCTGTGTGTTAGATATATTTCAGGGATTTTCTCTAAAAAAAAAAAAAAAACCTACCTACCTACCTACCACTTCCGAAATGGTGGGTAGGGTAAGGGGGAAACAAAGATATTTTTAATTGCGGCCTTGATTACGAATGAACCCATAAAAAATCAGGGGTAAAAAAAGTTCAGGACAAGTAGAATTTGTAAGAAATTTCTGAGTTCATACAATTCTACATGTCAATTGATGGTTTACTTTAGAAAATCAAAGAACGAGATTTGGTCTTCCAATTAGAATAGCAAGATACATGTATTTCATATCTTTTAATTTCCTTCATCATTGATCAAAACAATTATAATTTATTAAGCCTGACAACTATATATTATATGTATATCTTTTTTAACACTAAAGTATTGGTGCCACAACTGTAAACCTATCAACACAGTGTTGCCAATGTATTGTCCATTGTAAAACCTCATTTCTAATATGACGTTCTTCAAACGCTTTGAGTACACACCCGTGATAAAATATGAATATAGTGTATGTCAGCTGATCGGCAACGTCATGATTTGTTTGGGCTGTTCCGATAATACTCCCACGTCATATGATTTTTTATGAATGAGCTACCCTACTTTGAACGATGATGTAAGAATCTAAGCATTTTACGGGAAAATGCATGGTTGTGAAACTGAAAGTCACATCAAAACAAGGAAACATAAACAAACGATGATAAAATTTGTTAAAAGCCAATTTTTTTTACCTATGATTAAGATTATCATTTAAATTCATCCAAACCTATCTAAGTATGTTATTGTAAATAGTTTAATCATGTCACTAGTTCAGTTTTCTCTGTTCTTTTACGTCAATATTAATAGTGTGTTTAATTGCAGGAATGGCAAATGTTTGCCTTCACCTAAAGCGCTTCGATCCAAAAGAATTGCTGTATTTGTCTTATTAGAATAGAAATAATTCATGTGGGCTTGGAATTATTTCTAAAATGAATTCGTGGAAATATACATTTAACAATTCAGCTGCAGGCAGGATTTTCCCGTACCCTCCCAGTTGATAGTAGATTTTATCAGTTGTTTTTGTCGAGCCTGCTTCTTTTGTCGCAAAAGCGAGACATAGCGATCCTACATTCCGTCGGCCGTGGCGGCGTCCACAAAAAATCACTCTGTGGTTAAAGTTTTGCAAATTTTAATAACTTTCTTAAACTATCCTAGATTTGTACCATACTTGGACAGAAGCTTGTTTATGATCATAAGATAGTTTTCAAAAGTAAATTTTGTTAAAAAAAAAATCCTGTTTATCGATATTTTACTTATAAATGGACTTAGTTTTTCTGCCAGTTAACATTACATTCACTCTGTGGTTAAAGTTTTTCAAATTTTAATAACTTTCTAAAACTATCCTGGATTTGTACCATACTTGGACAGAAGCTTGTTTATGATCATAAGATAGTATTCAAAAGTAAATTTTGTAAAAAAAAAATCCTGTTTTTCCGTATTATACTTATAAATGGACTTAGTTTTTCTGCCAGTTAACATTACATTCACTCTGTGGTTAAAGTTTTCAAAATTTTAATAACTTTCTTAAACTATCCTGGATTTGTACCAAACTTGGACAGAAGCTTGTTTATGATCGAAAGCTAGTATCTAGAAGGAAATTTTGTATAAAAAAATTTCATGTTTTTCCGTATATTACTTATAAATGGACTTAGTTTTTCTTCCAGTTAACATTACATACAGTCTGCAGTTAAAGTTTTTAAAACATTTATTAGATTCATAAACCATCCTGGATTCTTACCAAACTTGAACAGAAGCTTATTACATTCAAAAGATAGTATCTAGAGGAAAATTTTTGATAATTATTTCCCCAGTTCTGTTGAGCCTGCAACTAACAGCAAAAGTAGGCGAGACACTGGGATCAGCGGAACCCTTACGAATTTTTTGTATGCTGGTTGAATATTTTGTATGTAACATGTGTAAAGGAGGTGAACTCTCAGTATATTCTTATTTTTCTCTTTTTATTTATAGGTCAATGTACAAGAATGGTAATTATAATGAGGCTCTAGTGAACATTCTACAAGCTCTAGAAATCTTCCCACACAATGAAGTCCAAGCTCTGGCTATCAAGATCAATAAGAAAATTGAAGAATCTTAAATTCTAGTCAGTGTATTTATTACATGTTGTAAAGGCTTTCATTTGAATGTGGGAGTACTTGCTTGTGCAAATAAAACCCTATTGAGTCTTATTATTATCTCTTTTAAGAACTTATATTCTTGAAATTTCCTAATCTCTATAATGAAAGTAATTTCAAAAGTAAAAAAGATCTGACAGACATGATATGTGTATAACTTTTCTTTGTTGCTGCTACAAATGTTATGAATAAATGATTATTTTGAGGAAATTCTGTAGATATTTTATACAGTATCAATTGTTTGTAAGGTTAGAATTTAATTTTTTCGTTAAATTTTCATATTTTTGTGATATCATGAGAATATTGTGTTCAATAATGGCCGCTTTTGGACTATGTTTCCACAGTGCTATATTTTTCAACATAGTGTTATATATGAATTTTGTTACCTTGTTACTATATGTTCTGTGTATGTTTGACATTAAAACAAGCAAGGGAAGAATCTGAAATATTTTATCCACAATGTATATTTCAAGTCTTTTCAATCACAAAAGACATAATGTGCTTTACATCTAGAGAAACAATTTTTGATAATGTTGCTGCAATGGTTTTAGAGAACACAAAGACTTGATTAAGGGCATATGATACACTTTTGATCCCACAGTGATTTTTTTACGAAAATTTACATACAAGCTATTTTTCACCTAGTCAAATCAAATATGTAATAAAAAATATACCTTCATGTGCTACTTTAAGAGATAAATGGGGTCGAAATTTTAGACATTTACTAAAAATTTTGTTTTTTTTGGACATTTCTATCCTTTGGATAGACATACCTAACTTTTTTGTTCCAAAAGATAAACACTAGCAGATTTTTGTAAAAACATTGGGAAAATCTTCTTAACATAAGTATGCTCTAAATTCGTATAACAATTCTTTGGAAATAATTAATTTTTATCAAAGTTTCATGATTTTAGAGTAAAAAGCATTTTTTGCTGTATATTTATCTAATTTTTAAAAAAATCATCTGTGACTTTTTTATAAAAATTGGCACAAATAATCTTCATATGTTATAAAATCTAATGTCATTTTAAATAAAAAAGAGGGGTCCATGAACTCATTTTCAAGTTAAATCAGTCTGAATGATAAAAATCAGTTGAAAAATGCATCTTTTCCCACTATGTCACAGTTTGACGTCGCGAAAATAACAATTTACGTTAGCAACGTCATTACCTCCCCTATAACTGTATCGTATGCCCTTAAACTTTTAAATAGATAAATGTCATAAATGTTTTCTTGTTTTTTTTGGGGGGGTACTTTTCAAGAAATGTGTGAATCACAAAATAATGTTTGGTTTATATGGGGTGGACTGTTGTATGAATTTTTATGAGACATAAATAAAGAGACTGAAATCTGAACTGTATATGCTGTAAGTGATAGTTTATTTTCTACTGGAATAATAATTCCTACTGTTAAGTCTGTGACATGCTAAATTCTGAGGGAATCCAGCATCATGCTAGTTCTCATAAAAGAGGATAATATCTAGATATCTTTTGATTATATGTGTCATTTAGTTGCTTTCTCCTGGATGTATACCTCATATATCCTTTTATTCAATTTATAACTTTAGTCAACATTTCATGAACAATCATTAGTTATACATAAAAATAAAACTTTCATATTGTTTTTTTTTCACATAAAAACATTGTTTGTTGTATATATTTTACAAATGGTGATCTATTTCAATATTGAAAAAGCCTAAATTGAAACTGATTTCATTAATTTAGAGGTTCACTCATATGATAACTACCTCTAATAGGCTCTGTGATACTGCTACACTAGATTAGGTTTGAAAACATATCTAAATATTCAGATGTATAAGTCATGCTAATTCTTTGATGTGATGTGATTTCATACACTTGTGTAATTCAGGCAATCTTATATAACAAAACAGGTCAGTGATGTATTTGTGAGTTTATATCATTAAAACGTATTGTAGTAATTGGAAATTTGACATTAGTATAGTGGCCAATAATGTTGTTAAAATTACAAAATAATTTCGTCAGAAAGAACTTTTACAGTAAAACCTGTATAAACCAGTTGGCTATGGGACTATGAAAAAGGGCGAGTTTGGACAGTGGGTTGGTTTATTCAGGTTTCCGTTTTGACAGGAAGTTATTGACTTGTGATGTCAGATATTTTGCATGTAAAAGTTCTGTCTCGTTGTTAATTGGAAACTAATAAATACAAATACCGTAATAATCTATTTATTAAAATGTAGAAAGTCTTGTAACAACAACACTGGAGAGACTGCTGCAGAAAATTTATTGAATGATCAACATGTTTCGGTGCCTAGGGCACCGTCATCAGGATACAAATATTACAGAAAGGTTAGCTAAGGTACAAAATCGGGTTGTATAAATATAATGTCATAGTAAGGCTACAGTCTTGAAAATGAAAGTGAAAGTGAAGTAAGTATATAGATAGAGAAAATACATAAATAGATTGTCAATATGAAAATGAAAGTAAAATAAAATTGTTCAAATCAATAGTCTTTGTTAATTATGCCTGGTTATTATTTGCTGAAAATGTTGTAAATAGAGTGTACAAATACATGTCTATCCCATAACTGTTCTGGTAATTCATCTAGACAAATAGTTTCGTCGCTGCTACTGGTGGTGAGATCAATAAAAATATCTTCTGTTAAGTCCATAATGTAACCGTATTCATTGGTTATGTATTTTAATAGGTGTTGGTGTATCGGTGCACGAAGTGTCAGATTCGGAGAGATGAAGGTCTTGTTCTAGGATGTTGATAGGTGATCTTTGTAGTCCTGATGTGGAGGGTCTTTGGTTGTCATATGGTGAATTATTGCCTGGCACTATTTTGAATGTAGGTGTTCTGTCATTCCAATTTTTCTTTTGTAGGGCCTCAAATGGTGGCCTCCATTTTTGCACGGGTTTTGCCATTTCTCTTTGTTCATGCTTAAAGCTTATGTAATCTTCTATTGCTTTTTCCGGGTGTTTGGTTTTTAGATGGCTGATAGCGTTCGATTTCCTGGTGATGGTTGCTGTACAGTGCTTGCATTCAAGCATAGTAGATACTGGTCCATGAATTTCTTTATGATGACGTCTGAGTGTTGAAATGCTGCAAAATGTTTTTGGGCACTTTTGGCATTTGAATCTTGGTGTGAATTTACCCTTTGTTTCTTTTCTCTTGGTTATTTTGGTGTTAGCCATATCTTTTATTGAGTCCCCACGGTTCGGTGCTACCAAATCTATAAATCAGAGCTTCATCTCTCTGAATCTGACACTTCGTGCACCGATACACCTCAATCAACACCTAAATACATAACCAACAAATACGGTTACGTTATGGACTTAACAGAAGATATTTTTATTGATCTCACCACCAGTAGCAGCGACGAAACTATTTGTCTAGATGAATTACCAGAACAGTTATGGGATAGACATGTATTTGTACACTCTATTTACAACATTTTCAGCAAATAATAACCAGGCATAATTAACAAAGACTATTGATTTGAACAATTTTATTTTACTTTCATTTTCATATTGACAATCTATCTATATATTTTCTCTATCTATATACTTACTTCACTTTCACTTTCATTTTCAAGACTGTAGCCTTACTATGATGTTGTATTTATACAACCCGATTTTGTACCTTAGCTAACCTTTCTGTAATATTTGTATCCTGATGACGGTGCCCTAGGCACTGAAACATGTTGATCATTCAATAAATTTTCTGCAGCAGTCTCTCCAGTGTTGTTGTTACAAGACTTTCTACATTTTATGTGTTTTATCGTAACGACCCTGCATACACGAGGTATCCACTTCAGTGACTCTAACTTACTACAGATTTACCATGCGTTGGTTCACTCTTGTGTTTAATTTCTATTAATTAAAAGTCATGTCATGATTTGTGCGAAAATATTGTGACATGAGCATTACAAGTGTTCCATGCCTTTTCGCCATTAAACTATGCACGATCATTGTTTTGAGTCTTTGTATTCATTGGCTTTAGAAATTTCAGAAATTGGTTGTCCCCCGAATTAAAAAAATACTATCTGAACTTTTTTGTACATATCCTCGTATGTCAAATCGCCCTCGGTAGCATCAGTCTCCGACTCGTCAGTTTCAGTTTCACTTTGAGATCATTGTTTTCATGTGCAACAGAATACTCACGATGTTTGAATTGTTCAACGAGAGTTTTGTTATACTTCCATCGTTCATTTTCTATGTTGGTATAGCCTATAAAAAAGCAAGAATTTTATCAAAGGAAATGTCATCATGATCGTAACTTTGTCGTACAATGTATGATACCCATAAACTCGACAATAGAATGTCGTCATCCAGGTCTTCTTCATTATCAGGATCATTGGTTTTGGGGTTCAAAACAGGAAACCAAACATTTCGAAAACACATGTAAATTTTTTACTCCGTGATTTGAAAAATTTATCAAAGTTAAAACGTAAGCTCTATCCGATATATATTTGGCGTTTCTTTTAGTTTAATTAAAACTTAATAGTGTTTCTATAATAAAGCTCACTAATGTAAAGTTCACAGTTTAACTCCTTGCTAATTGATTATCCTTGAAAACCATCATGTATAAACAATTATGTTTTGATTGCATATCGATCAATACTGTTATCATGTTAAATTAATTAAACAAACCGGTTTTGACAATGTAATAATAAGTGTAATTAAGAGTATTTGGACTGCATAATTAGACTGGAATTCAGTATACACAGGGTCCGGTTTACAAGGGATATTTTTACAAAGACTGAAGGGGAAAAAATGGGACTTCAATTTTCAGTCGGAATGGACAGGAAACCAGTTTATTCAGGGTTCGGTTAACCTAGGTTTGACTCTATTACCTTATCAGTTTTTGTTCTGTCTGTTTAATAGAACACATCTTTTTTTTTATGTGTAGATTTTTGATGAATGACATTCAAGATTAATTGTGATGATGATGAGTGCTTATGACCAGTTGTTGCCATGTCAATGAAAACCTATTTTTTTCTATGCCATCATTTGTTTTTTGTATAAAAAGTGTATCCAATAACTATTGGTTATATGTAATAAAAGAGATACAAACTTGAAGCTTGACTTTTCTTATAAAATTATGTTATGTAATTAAAGGAGGAAAATATTTCAAATGGTAAGTTACTTTGTCTTGTATTAGTAGGTGCTGAAGGTTTGTAAATAGTTTACATATCAGATTGAAGAAGAGCTGGATTATCCGTATCATGTATACAGATAAAATTGAGAATGGAAATGGGGAATGTGTCTAAAAGACAACAACCCGACCGAAGAGCAGAAAACATGCCTAATAGTTTTAAGTTTCTGTCTGGCATGTCTGTTGTCCTTTACCTCATTTTTATTGCCGTGAGTGCAAGACATAGAGCTTCTTAACAGCCACTTGTGAATGATTTGTTCATGTATAAAGCTTTATATTTCAGAAGGTAGGAGACCTGGATACTTCCTACCTTGTATGCAGATGCCTTATGTTACAAAGTTTCTGTCTGTCATATGTCCATTATCTTTAGCCTCATTTTCATGGTTCAGGGACGGATTGAACATTTTTTTTTCTATCACATGAATTTCTCACTTATTGTAATAGGATAACTATATTTGGTATACTAGATCCTTGGTGGTCTCATGGTAGCATGTTTGCCTTGAGTATGAGAGGTTGTAGGTTTGAATCCCCTGCCAGTCAAACCAAAGACTCTAAAATGGTTATTTACTGCTTCTCTGCTAAGCATGCGACAATAAGAAGTAAGAGCAAAGACTGGTCTGCTTCGGAATCAGAATAATGTGTCCAGATTGGGTGACATATCCTCCTACAGGCTGTTACCATGTGAACTATCACGTTAAAAATCTAGCTCAGCATATCAGTCTAGTACAAAGCAGGTTAGTATTCATATGGAATTAACAAGTTCTTATTCTGAATATACCTTTAATTTGCAACTGGACGTTTAGCCATCCATTATCATCATTGGATAGGGTTCACATGACCTTGACCTCTTCATTTCATGGTTCAGTGATCAAGGTAAAGTCCATATCTCAGATACTAAACAGCAAAAAATCAACTATATTTGTTGATTGGACTGATTGTAAGGTTTACATGTTGGTCATCTGGTGTGCAAAAATTATCTATTTTTCATCCTATTTCTTGACCTGGAAGACAGGGATTCTGATAGATGTATCCCAATGTAGTCTGCATGCAGTGAAGACCCTAATGAACACATTGACTACAATAGTGCTCAGGTTGAGGTAAAACTGATCTGGGTATAGCAGTCTAGGGAAGGTCATTTCCACCAAAAAATCTAGAATTTTCAGATTTTCCGTGATGTTTGGCTTTTCCTGGGGCTGCAATCGAAAGTAGTCCTTCCAAAAGTATTTCAATAATAAACACAGTCAGTAGTTGTATAAATGCTTGTTTACACTGTTTTGGGAAGTTTTAGGCTTCTGTACTGCGTGTGTCAGACACCGAAAGGGAAGCCCACCCCTCCAGAAAAAACAAATTTAATCATTTTCAATTTAATTGGGCTCAAACGGCACCTTAAACCTGAGAAACATGTCAATAAATAGCCTTAAGTGGAGAACATGCATCAATTTTGAAATACATATCAGTTCACCTTAAAAGTACACAGAGCCATTGGAGCAACATCAGAAACCTCGGTGTTGACTTGCTAGTGATACAGTAGATTGACTACTTAAAACTACTGTAAATTCAGAAATTATTGCGCGCATTTATTATTGCGATATTTGAAAAATTAACAAAAATGCGAGTTTAACTATTGCGAATTTTGGAAAAGCAACATTCAGATATATGTATTTGATATCAGAATGCGAGTTTTTATTATTGCGATACTCAAGTAGTCGCGTTATTCGCATTAATAAAAACTTCGCAATAATTTCTGAATTTACAGTACTGGGCCCCTCCTAGTGAGGGAAGGTTCAATCTTAATGCCTTGAGAGACTTTTATGGTAAATCTTCTTTAGAACTAATATCATACCAAGCAGACCAAGAAAATGAATGTTCTGTTGTAGTTATCGGATTTTGTTAACATCCTGGTTATTTGGTCTCTGATGGATAATTATCTCATTTGCAATCTTACCACATCTTGTTTTTATATTAATATTTATTTTTTGTTGTCAGCATTCAATGCTAATATTATATAATGAGGAACTACAGATAATATTTAAACAGCTCAAAGTAAAATTAAAATTAAAAATTGAATAATTGGGTTTCATCTGATTGATATATTAGTGGTGTTTATTGCCACTTTTAGCACTCTTTGCTATATGGTGGCGGTCAGTTTTTATTGGGGGAGGAAACCAGAGTGATCAGATAGAACCACCTACCTTCGGCAGGAAACCTAATTATGATTGGAGTTGAATACACTTGCCACATACTTGGTTCGAAACCTAAGAGTTATCTGAATAATTTTGGACATAATGACGTATTAAATATTTTAAACATATATGGATGTCTTCTTAGTAAAAATCATATGGCCAATAATATATTTTTTTAATATGAGCCTGCATATTGGTATAACATGTTTAAAATAGATTTTATTTTTATTTGTTTCAATGTTAACAGTACAGTTTGATAAGTTCATCACTGACAGCTGATGGTGTTAACACACCTAAGTCTGTAAACAACAAGGTGATGTATGCTGGGGGTGTGTAGTCTACCAATGGATGTTCTCTAAATAAATCTGTTGTAGTTTTCAGGGTACTGGCTTTGTACTGAAATAAATATGTATAGATATATATTAATTTTGCTTATAAAGGTGAAATGGTTCAGTGTTAGCAATATGCTAACATGTCAAGATCATGTAAATTGTTTTTCTCAGACTGTTAATAACGTCTTTAAACTAAATCAATAGGACGTTGGATGTGTACTGATTGATATTTTAGTCTTAGATGCATGATTTTTTTGTTAGTTTTTATTGGATTTGAACTAGTTTTCAGTAGCTACGGGTACTCTCAGATCTGTACTGCATGGCTTTTGTGTTTTTGTTAGGGTATTTTGTGCCTTGATTCAATCTGATGAGTTAAGTCCTTTTCAACTTATTTTTTTTATAATTTGTTCTGATGTACTGTTACACCATGTTAGGTGCCAGGAGACATGTTTAACCCAGCCACATTCTGTATGTGCCTGTCCCAAGTCAGCAGCCTGTAATTCAGTGGTTGTCATTTGTTGGTGAGTATCATATTTTTTTTTTTGGTTTATTTTGTACATAAATCAGGCCATTAGTTTTCTCGTTTAAATTGTTGTACAATTGTCATTTCGGTGTCTTTTATAGCTTGTTGTGCGGTATGGGTTTTGTTCATTGTTGAAGGCCCTATGGTGACTTACAGTTGTTAACTTCTACGTCATTTCTTCTCTGGTGGAGAGTTGTCGCATTTGCAATCATACCATATTTTCTTATTTTCATATTTATTTAATATTAAATATTAAATAATCATGTTCTTTAAGAAATTGAATGAAATCTACTATCAAATCCTCTGTATTCTGTTTACAAACAATGCTCCCTTATCTGATGCCAATTTAATTTCATCATAAGTTGTTCCCTTAGAAGTTGATATGAATGATCTTGATAACAACAAAATATATCTGCTGTTTGATGATGTTCTAGGTCATTTCCTAGTGGTTGAGGGTACCAGGTACATGGTTAACCGCCAAGCTTTGACAAGTGACTGAAAAACACCATTAATTTTAGCTATGTACGCATTTATAATCTTTGGCTTTCCTACTTTGTGGCTCTTAGTGATCTTAAAGACAATGTAGATAGTGAGAGACTTCCAAATTACTCGACAACCAATATACTTTCTAACAGTATTTTTTCATACATTTAAAAACTTAAATTTGTATTATTACAAACCTTGAAATCATCAGGAAGGTCATGCTGGTTCAGGGGATATAATCTTGTAAACTTGAAGCTTTCTGCCACTACATAAAATGGCTTATTCATTGCTTTAGCTGATAATCCTATGGAAAATGTACCAATCTGAAAAAAACCAGACAACTTGTAACAATCTATGTAATTTAATAGACTATTTTTATATTACCAACTTTTGACTCTGAAGTACATTATTTTTCAACAAGTAACCTTATATGTGGTATAAAATTCTAGTACTTGGTCAAGTAAGAGCACTTAAAAGAGAAATATCAAGCTGACAATGGGTGCAATTTGGAGAAAAAAATCAACTGGTTTCAAATGATTTTGATGTGTAAAGAAAACATAAAACAGTTTATTCCCCAACTGAAATATAATGCTTTATGTGCTGATTTAACTAGCCACACCCAGATCAGAATCCCTATGTCCAACAGTCTACGACCTTCATCGCAACCAAGACAAAAATCAATTTTCCTCATTTTTTTTTTTTTAATCCAAACACAGTTAAATGAATTTAAAGTAACTTACCTTGTTAATGATGCCACTCTTGACCACACCTCAGCCCCTTCTAATACAAGACAAAGTAACTTACCTTGTTAATGATGCCACCACTCTCGACCACACCTTCAGCACCTAATAATACAAGACAAAGTAACTTACCTTGTTAATGATGCTACTCTTGACCACACCTCAGCCCCTTCTAATACAAGACAAAGTAACTTACTTTGTTAATGATGCCACCATTCTCGACCACACCTTCAGCACCTACTAATACAAGACAAAGTAACTTACCTTGTTAATGATGCCACCACTCTCGACCACACCTTCCCTTTTCACGAATGTGACATACCGAATTAGACTATTTACCGGATTTGTAATAACATAAGCAACACAACGGGTGCCACATGTGGAGCAGGATCTGCTTACCCTTCCGGAGCACCTGAAATCACCCCCAGTTTTTAGTGGGGTTCGTGTTGCTTAGTCTTTAGTTTTCTATGTTGTGTCATCTGTACTATTATTTGTCTGTTTGTCCTTTTATTTTTGGCCATGGCGTTGTCAGTTTGTTTTCGATCTATGAGTTTGACTGTCCCTCTGGTATCTTTAGTCCCTCTTTTCTCAGCCCCTACTAATACCAGACAAAGTAACTTACCTTATTATTCAGCACCTACTAATACAAGACAAAGTAACTTACCTTGTTAATGATGCCACCACTCTCGACCACATCTTCAGCACCTATTAATACAAGACAAAGTAACTTACCTTGTTAATGATGCCACCACACTCAACCACACCTCAGCCCTACTAATACAAGACAAAGTAACTTACCTTATTATTTAGCACCTACTAATACAAGACAAAGTAACTTACCTTGTTAATGATGCCACCACTCTCAACAACACCTTCAGCACCTACTAATACAAGACAAAGTAACTTACCTTGTTAATGATGCCACCACACCTTCAGCACTTACTTATACAAGACAAAGTAACTTACCTTGTTAATGATGCCACCACTCTCAACAACACCTTCAGCACCTACTAATACAAGACAAAGTAACTTACCTTGTTAATGATGCCACCACTCTCGACCACACCTTCAGCACCTACTAATACAAGACAAAGTAACTTACCTTGTTAATGATGCCACCACTCTCGACCACACCTTCAGCACCTACTAATACAAGACAAAGTAACTTACCTTGTTAATGATGCCACCACTCTCGACCACACCTTCAGCACCTACTAATACAAGATCTATTTTCTCCATCACATACCTACAAAATGTTCAATACATCTTTAGTAATAAATTAGTGTGACCTGCCGATCAATCTTAAAACATATCTCATATTTTAATTATTGCATTACATGTATGTTCATACTTTTGATTGGCTTAAAACATAAACGAGGCATTCCAAAATCAAATTGTATTTCTAAATAAAATTCAACATTCAGGGTTGCACTTGCTTCCCATAAGAACGTCACTGCAATGCATAGGGAAAATAAATGTGGATAGTGGACACATGTGGACACAGATGATGCCCCCGCTTGCATATCATATAGTTATAAAGGGACATAACTGAAGAACGGCAAAAGTGACGCCACCCTTATTTGAACTTGATCTGAGTTTTGTGGTAATAAGCATTGTGTGTAAGTCTCATAACATTTGGTTGAGGCTTACTTAAGAAGAGAACAGAAACTAAAAATTCAGCAATTTTTCTATTTGTAAACACGCATAACTCTAGAACGGTTGTGTATAAGTTTTATAACATTTGGTTGAGACAAACTAAAGTTAGAGAACGGAAACTAAAAATTCAGCAATTTTTATGTTTATAAAGGGACATAACTCAAGAATAGTAAAAGTGTTGCCACCAAATTTCGTACTTAATCTGTATTATGTAGTAATAAGCACTGTGTATAAGTTTCATAACATTTGGTTGAGGCAAACTAAAGTTTTTAAACGGAAACAAAAAATTTGTACTTGATCTTAGTTTTGTGGTAATGAATATTGTGTATAGGTTTCATAATGTTTGGTTGGGGCAAACTTAAGTTACAGAATGGAAACTAAAAATTTTGCAATCTTTTGATTTATAAAGGGGCATAACTCAATAATGGTTAAAGTGACACTATCCAAATTCAACTTGATCTGTGTTTTATCAGTGGAAGTCAAAATTAAACATTGCATTGTATAAAGCATTGATTGTAGTTGATTCAATTATAATCATGGACAAAGGAAGATAACTCCAATTTTAAAAATAACTTGATATTTAGAAGAAAATAAAAATTTTGCAATTTTTCCATTTATAAAGGGGCATAACTCTAGAATGGTTAAAGTGATGCCACCAAAATTCAAAATGAGCTGTGTTTTGTGGTAATAAGCATTGTGTATAAGTTTCATAACATTTGGTTGATGCAAACTTAAGTAAGAGAACGGAAACTAAAAATTTTGCAATTTTTCCATTTATAAAGGACATAACTCTAGAACGATTAAAGTGAAGCCACCAAAATTCAAACTTGATCTGTGTTTTGTAGTAACAAGCATTGTGTATAAGTTTCATACTACTTGGTTGAGGCAAACTTAAGTTAGAGAACGGAAACTAAAAATTTTGCAATTTTTCCATTTATAAAGGGCATATCTCTAGAACGATTAAAGTGACGCCACCAAAATTCAAACTTGATCTGTGTTTTGTGGTAATAAGCATTGTGTATAAGTTTCATAACATTTGGTTGAGGCAAACTCAAGTTAGAGAACGGAAACCAATTTTGGGACGTAAGTACAGATGTACGTATGTACGTACGTACAGACGGACAAGGTTAAAACTTAATGCCCCAACCGCTACGGTGGGGGCATAAAAATGAAAATCTTGATATTACTCATAATTTCATAGTTGTGATTCTTCTCAATCTTTTAGTAAAAAATGTGTAAGTGGTTCCGCCGAACCCTTTGTCTCGCCTGCGATTGCTGCTGTCAGTGTAAAAGTGAAATCTTGACTCAAAAAGTGAGTCCATTTATCAGTAAAATACAGAATTTAAAAAAAATTAGCTTATGTCTAAGTTTCATAACAATCCATGAAGGTTTACAAATTTATTATGTTTAAAAAATTTAATCCCAGACTGTCTGAAAATGTTAACTGTAAAAAAACTAAGTTTATCTATCAGAAAAAAATTGAAAATGAAAAAAATATATTTTCAAAAGTTTGCTTCAGACATTATCTCTTAATCATAAAAAAGCTCCTGCTAAAGTTTCATAAAATTCTATGAAGGTTTGACAAAGTAATTGATGTGTTACAAACTATAACCCCAGACTGTATCCACTTGTTAACTGTAAAAAAAACTACGTCCATTTATCAGTAAAATACAGGAAAATGAATATAAATATTTTCAAAATTTTGCTCTGGATACTGTATTTTGGTCATAAACAAGCTTCTGTCAAAATTTCATAAAATTCCATGAAGGTTTGTCAAATTTACTGATGACTGAAAAACTTTAACCTCAGACTGAATCTGAATGTTAACTGTAAAATAAAACTAAGTCCATTTATTAGTAAAAATACAGAAAAATGTATTATTTCATACAGCTGAAAAAAAATATTTTCAAAATTTTGCTTTGGCTACTGTATTTTGATTTTATATATATAAACAAGCTTCAGTCAAAATTTCATAAAATTCCATGAAGGTTTGAAAAAGTTAAAGATGAATGAAAAACTTTAACCTCAGACTGAATCTGAATGTTAACTGTAAAGAAAAACTAAGTCCATTTATCAGTAAAATACGGAAAAATGAAAATAAATATTTTCAAAATTTTGCTTGCATTACTGTATTTTAGTCATAAACAAGTTTCTGTCCTAATTTCTTTAATTCCATGAAGGTTTGACAAAGTAATTTATGTTTCTGGTTTGTTTTTGACCAAAGGTTGAAAAGCCCAAAAATATGAAAAGTTGGACAGCACATATACCAAAAGGACCTAAACAGAACAGCCAAAACCATCAATGGTCAATTCAGTTAAAGTAGGATTGACTAAATTCAGAAATGAACTGATGATTAAAAGTTTAAAATTGAAATTAGTAGTGTTTTAAATGCTGATAGGGTACAGCAATGTACAACTTTAAATTTTAAATTGAAAGCAAAAACAAATAGACCAGCAAAACAGCAAGAATAAACATTTTCAGAAAATTATAAGGCTCTTATCTTTCTTGTGTACAGGATTTCATTAAAATATAAAAACAATTACCCTACTGATAAAACTCAAAGATAAAATGAATTTACACATGTGTATAGAGTCAATTTATAAAATTTAGTCTTTTAGTCTTTTAGTCTAAAATACATGATTTTTTTATTAGTTGTTATTGGCTTTGAATAAGCTGTCAGTAACTGAGAGTACTCTCAGATCTTTACTTAGTGCTTTTTTTGTTGTGGAATATATAAATACTCTGCCACGTCCAGTCTGTGTTTTCGTTAGATCTTTTCTGCTTTGTATCAGTCTGATGAGTTTAGCCCTTTTCAACTGATTTTTATAGTTTGTTCTTATGTTGTACTGTTACACAACTGTCCCAGGTTTAGGGAAAGGTTTGGGGCCAGCAAACTAGTTATATCCCGCCACATTCTGTATGCACCTGTCCCAAGTCAGGAGCCTGTAGTTCAGTGGTTGTCCTTGGTTCATGTCTGTCATATTTGTTTTTCACAAATTGTTTTGATATAAATTAGGCTATTAGTTTTCTCAATTGAATTGTTTCACATTTTTCATGTCGGGGCCTTTTATAGCTGACTATACGGTATGGGTTTTTCTCATTGTTGAAGGCCATATATACGGTTTCCTATAATTGCTTACATCCATTTCATTTGAACTTTGATTGATAGTTATCTCATTGGCAATCATACCACATCTCCTTATTTTTATATTTACAACTGAATCAAGTTTGAAGATATTCACCCCAATTATTCAGTGCATACAAACACTTACCCGACAGCTGAATCAAGTATAATAGTAGAAGGTATTCCAAGTTTTTGTAATTCTTCATGTGTTTTGTGTCTGAAAAATGAATTTAGGTGAGTATTGCAATAATACGAACTCGCATTCTAATGTTTAATATATATATGATTTTTTTGAAATCGCAATAGTTAATCTCTCATTTTTGTCCATTCTTCAAAAATAGAAATAATAAATGCACGCAATTATGAATAATTTCTGAATTCACAGTAAAAGTGACTTTATGACTTGTTAATAATACTTATACTTAGAATTTCTCATTTTTATTAAGCCAGTGTGACATTTTTCTGCAACATTTTTTTATCCCTTTAATAATGCAGACACTGTTTGCAAAAATTCCTGTTCTTTTTAAATAATCCATCACAATACTTCTCTTATACTATTATCTACCTTTAAATGATGATGAAGCATTCAAAACCTTTTCCTTCAAATAGTTCCAAAGAATTAATAGCTTATTTTCTAGGCCTTTCATTTTTTCTTATGTTCATCAGTATTTATTTTTGTGGTTTTTATCATATAATAAAACATATTTTTTTTACCTTACAATTTTGATACAGGAATCTGAATATATAAAAGTATTGTACATTGAAAGTAAATAAATATATGATTTAGAATTCAATAAATCAAGTAAAGCACAATCCATATTACGCCCATATTACGCCACTCCAATATAATCATAGATTATCACATGACATTTTCCATATCTGCCCTGGTATCAGCCCAAGACTCCCATATAGGACCAGTAGCTTAAGCAATTATAGTTATCCTATTGCTCTTTAATAATAAGTGAGAATTCACATGACAAAAAAACTCCAATTTTTTTAAAACAGTCGCTGAACCATGAAAATGAGGTCAAGGACAATGGACATATAAAATATAAAGCTTTACACAAATATGTTGCAGACACCAGATTGTAATCCCTATGTCTCACATTCTGCAAGTTTTGTTGCAGGCAAGACAAAAATGGAGAGAGCAAAAAATTGTTTTATATTTTACGAACATTTGAGCAAGCAATTCCTGGAATCTGGTGAGAGGAAGGCAAATTTTAATTTAATTTTACAAAACTTTGGTTTTTAGGTACAAAAAAAGATTTTTTTTTTAACCTCAAAACAAATTCAATTTTCTGCAAATTGTGGGGTGAGCGATGACATATTCAAAATGCAATTGTCAATTTCATTTATTTGGAGTGAGTGAATCCGAAGATCTATGGATCAATTTGGAGTGGCCATATGGAGTTTACAATATATAGATACCCAGACTTGTTTGGTTGTGATTCAGCTACAAAGACATTAAATCTTTTCTTGGCTTCTGCTGCCTCCTTTAATACTTGTAACACAACTCTCGACTTGGAATTTGTTAAAATTGTCTACAACATAAAACAAGTAATACAGCAATCAAAATCTTTCCTGTAAAGTTTTCAGCAAACCAAAGGATAAAATAATACTTTTAATCTTGTTCCTTTCAAACTCTAGTTTAAGCTGAAAAATTTGTTTTCAGATATTTTTTTTTCTCTCTGGATTTTCTACTTTTAATGCAACTTGTGATCATGTCTGATGTTGGTCTTCACCAACCTTAATTCTGAAAGGAAATCAACAATGCAATTGTTTCTTTGATTTTTTTTTAAACTAATTTTGCCGTAAAATTTGCATTATTTAGATTTTCCTGCAATATCACCATAATAGAAATAGGGTATTTGTCAATGAAACAGAAACTGGACAAAATTATAAAATTTAACATGCATTCTTTAACAATAGACTAGTTTGTATACCATATGTGAACTCTAAATCTCCATAGGACAGATAAGTTAGACTTTCAAAGATCTGTCATCAACACCAAATTCATAATGGACAAATGTAGGGGAGATAGTAACTATGTTCTATTTATAATGTAATAGTTCTAGGGGAGATAGTAACTATGTTCTATTTATAATGTAATAGTTCTAGGGGAGAAAGTAACTATGTTCTATTTATAATGTAATAGTTCTAGGGGAGATAGTAACTATGTTCTATTTATAATGTAATAGTTTTAGGGGAGATAATAATTATGTTCTATTTATAATGTAAAAGTTCATGGGGAGATAGTAACTATTTTCTATTTATAATGTAACAGTTCTAGGGGAGATAATAACTATGTTCTATTTATAATCATAGTTCTAGGGGAGATAGTAACTATGTTCTATCTATAATGTGATAGTTCTAGGGGAGATAGTACCTATGTTCTATTTATAAAGTAATAGTTCTAGGGGAGATTGTAACTATGTTCTATTTATAATGTAATAGTTCTAGGGGAGAAAGTAACTATGTTCTATTTATAATGTAATAGTTCTAGGGGAGATAATAACTATGTTCTATTTATAATGTAATAGTTCTAGGGGAGATTGTAACTATGTTCTATTTATAATGTAATAGTTCTAGGGGAGATAGTAACTATGTTCTATTTATAATGTAATAGTTTTAGGGGAGATAATAATTATGTTCTATTTATAATGTAAAAGTTCTAGGGGAGATAGTAACTATGTTCTATTTATAATGTAACAGTTCTAGGGGAGATAGTAACTATGTTCTATTTATAATGTAATAGTTCTAGGGGAGATAGTAACTATGTTCTATTTATAATGTAATAGTTCTAGGGGAGAAAGTAACTATGTTCTATTTATAATCATAGTTCTAGGGGAGATAATAACTATGTTCTATTTATAATCATAGTTCTAGGGGAGATAGTAACTATGTTCTATCTATAATGTAATAGTTCTAGGGGAGATAGTACCTATGTTCTATTTATAAAGTAATAGTTCTAGGGGAGATTGTAACTATGTTCTATTTATAATGTAATAGTTCTAGGGGAGATAGTAACTATGTTCTATTTATAATGTAATAGTTCTAGGGGAGATAATAACTATGTTCTATTTATAATGTAAAAGTTCTAGGGAAGATAGTAACTATGTTCTATTTATAATGTAACAGTTCTAGGGGAGAAAATAACTATGTTCTATTTATAATGTAATAGTTCTAGGGGAGATAGTAACTATGTTCTATTTATAATGTAATAGATCTAGGGGAGATAATAACTATGTTCTATTTATAATCATAGTTCTAGGGGAGATAATAACTATGTTCTATTTATAACCAGTTATGAAGCAAACTCCTGGACTTTTAATGCATTGATTTTCTCTGCCAGATTTACATTGTATATGGAACATTAAGTACTTGTAGTGTAACTCTTAAATGTATGAAAACTGTCTGCAATATGAAACCCTGTCATATAACTTGTCAGGAATTAAGTGTTACCCTTGACTGTCCGTCCATCCGTCTTTTTGTCTTTCTGTCCGTCCGTGTGTCCCATTTTCATTTGTTTGAAGCTTGAGTTGGGGCATTTATGTCCTCAGACACATTCTTCTTTTAATTTTATAAATAAGTTAACCTGTTATTTTTTATTTTGTTTGTTTAAAAAGATTGAGAGGTGATATAGCATTTTGTCCATTCATTTCGTGTGTTAAGGATCAAGAATAAAGCACATAAAAGTCATATATACATGATGTTTTCTCTTGGACATGTCATGGACCAAAACAAAGTCTACATGAAAATTTATCTATTTTGATCTACATATTATATATTAATGCCTGCATGACTCTGGTTTAGGTTTTAGTTTGTGTCCACATCTAACAGTGTTCCAGCTAGGATTTCAAAAGGGCAGGGTACCAATCCTGAAAAAGGGCATTTAATGCGTGACATGATAATATGAAAAGGGCATGTTTTAATAAAGATATTAATCAAACATTGTGTTTATTCATTGAATCACTTGTTATATATATATATATATATATATACAAGAACAACATCATAAGCCATATAAAACTCTATCTCTCTACTTTTTAGGCTGAAAAACTTGTCAAACACCTTGTCACACAAGTTTTCAAAGCATGCATTGCTTGACACAGTTAAGCTTTATATGCAGTGTGTTTTGAAAGGTGTCCTGGTTCATTCTGTTTCAATGGTCACACTTTACAAGTTTTACCTTGGAAAGACCCTTTCTACCTCTGCTGTGCTTAAAGGCAATACAGCACAAAACAGCTGTGCTCAGTAAATGCACAATGTTTGGAATTAGTAAACAGTGAAAATTTGTATTAAAAATAAAGAATACAGAAAAGATGACCAAGGCACCCTATCAACCCTGCTACTAAGACCTCTTTAACAATTCCCATAACTCAAAAGACCTTAACATATAAATTCTAAGGCCAGAAGTATGTAGACATATTTTAGAATATCTTTAGTAACTCAATGCTAGGAAAAAACGTTTCTTTATTCGGGTGTGCTCCTTCTTTGGAGGATTATAAACAGTACGTATAAAATGGTAAATACGATCAACAATGGCGGTTGATTTTGTTATTTTCGTATAAAAAATGAGGGCAGTCAAAGACAAATACGTCTGAATTGCTATTTTTTTACGGAAAACAAGTAAAACACAGTTTTTAGCAAGTTGATTATGGTTTTCGACTTTCCTGTCAATTACGTTTTCTCCATGAAACTACGATAAACATTGCAAATTGTGCCGAAGTTGTCGTATGAACATTTCTTCAAAGACAAATGCAGACTTACCGATTCTCTTTGAATGAATTAATGTTGATGATCATCAATGACCCATCCGATAAACGGATTAGCTGTAACAACAAATTATGACACCTGTTGTAACTGTTGATTAGTTTGGGGTTGTAAACAAAGTCATAAACTTGTCGCCAGGTAAAATTTCGTAATTGGCGGTTCACAACGAACAAAATCAAAGCACTGTAAGCGCTGTAGGCAGTTAACCAAAAACAAAGGCAAACGTAATTATGAAAACTGTGGCAGTGTTGCTTCAATTTTTTTTTCAAGATTTGAAAGAACAAACATTAAACATTCGTACATTGTACATTAATGTTCATTTAATGAATTGATTATTCAGGCAAATTAATTAATATTTCATCAAGGTTTTCAAAAGCAACTCATATATCAATGTAAATGACCCCCATCTTCACTCCCAAATGTATGATGTTACTTCATACCAAGTTTGGAATAAAATGACAGGTGATTATAAAACAGTTGGTCAAACATTCTCGGGCTTTACACTGCTTAAAAGATTTATATGTTTTCTTTAAAATGAGCCATAAATGAAAATTATTATAGGCCCAGAAATAATTTATTAATAGTTAAAGTAAATTCACCTAGACTCATTTTTTGCATCAATAAAACTTTATAATAAACAAGAAATAATTGTAACAGGATGCCGTTACGAAGTCTCCCAAACAAAGCCCCCATAATTCATCATTCCCATGGTCTCCTGACATTGGGCAAAGTCCAGTTCATATTGGTTTGGTCTAGTAAAGTGATATGCATATGTGACACCAAGGAGATTGACCCTGTATGTCATTCAAATCTTTTTGAAATGATGAACAGGAATAAATATGGTTTAGGTGTGGGTATCTCGACCGTTTACAAGTTCTCAAACAGGAGGGGTGGGGTGACCCCAGGGACTCCCCCTATATTTCATTTGATTTTTTATATTGTCCCATACATGAATACATATGGTTTAGGGGTGGGGATCTCGACCATTTCCAAGTTCTCAAACAGGAGGGGGTGGGGTGACCCCAGGGACTCCCCAAATATTTCATTTGATTTGTTATATTGTCCCATACATGAATATATATGCTTTAGGGGTGGGGATCTTGACTGTTTACAAGTTCTCAAACAAGAGGGGGGGTGGGGTGTCCCCATGGACTCCCCCTATATTTCATTTGATTTGTTTTATTGTCCAATACATGACAAGAAATAATTGTAACAGGATGCTGTTACGAAGTCTCCCAAACAAAGCTCCAATAATTCGTCATTCCCATGGTCGCCTGACATTGGGCATAATCCAGTACAAATTGGTTTGTGATATGCATAAGTGACGCCTATGGATTAACCCTGTATGTCATTCAAATCTTCTTGAAATGACGAACAGGAATATATATGGTTTAGGGGTGGTGATCTCGACCGTTTACAAGATAAAAGCACATTCTCAAATTGAAGGGGGGTGGGGTAAGAATATAAGGGGGGGTGTGTGATCCCCAGGGGACTCGCCCTTTATTTCATATGATTTTTTTTTGTCCCATACAAGAATATATATATGGTTTAGGGGTGGGGATCTCGACCGTTTACAAGTTCTTAAACAGGAGGGGGTGGGGTGACCCCAGGGGACTCGCCTTTTATTTCATTTGATTTGTTTTATTGTCCCATACAAGAATATATATGGTTTAGGTGTGGGGATCTCAACCGTTTACAAGTTCTCAAACAGGAGAGGGTGGGGGTGACCCCAGGGGGCTCGCCTTTTATTTCATTTGATTTGTTTTATTGTCCCATACAAGAAAATATATGGTTTCGGGGTGGGTATCTTGACCGTTTACAAGTTGTCAAAAAGAAGGGGGGTGCGGGTGACCCCCCTGGACTCCCCTATATTTCATTTGATTTGTTTTATTGTCCCATACAAGAATATATATGGTTTAGGGGTGGGGATCTCGACCGTTTACAAGTTTTCAAGAAAAAGAAAAAGTAGAAGAATAATAATAAAAGTAATAAGAACTGAGCAAAAACAATGTCTCCAAACTTTGTTTGGGAGACTTAAATATATATGGTTTAGGGGTGGGGATCTCGACCATTTCCAAGTTCTCAAACAGGAGGGGGTGGGGTGACCCGAGGAACTCCCCATATATTTGATTTGATTTGTTATATTGTCCCATACATGAATATATATGGTTTAGGGGTGGGGATATTGACTGTTTACAAGTTCTTAAACAGGAGGGGGTGGGTGTCCCCAGGGACTCCCCCTATATTTTATTTGATTTGTTTTATTGTCCCATACATGAATGTATATGGTTTAGGGGTGGGGATCTCAACCATTTCCAAGTTCTCAAACAGGAGGGGTTGGGGTGACCCCAGGGACTCCCCCCATATTTCATTTGATTTGTTTTATTGTCCCATACATGAATATATATGGTTTAGGGGTGGGGATCTGGACCATTTCCAAGTTCTCCAATAGGAGGGGTAAGGACGACACCCGGGACTCCTCCAAATTATTTTCATTTGATTTCTTTTATTGTCCCATACAAGTATATATATTGTTTAGGGGTGGGGATGTCGACGGTTTACAAGATAAAAGTACATTTTCAAATTGAAGGGGGTTGGGATGACCCCCAGGGACTCACCCTATATTTTGGTTGATTTTTTTTATTGTCCTGTTCTCATTACTGAAGACTGCATGTGTCTATCACTTACTGTTTTTGAGAAATATTCATTTGAAAATTTAAATTTTAAAAAATAAAATCCCATAGGGTTCTATAGTAAATCCCTACCTTCTTCAGGCCCCTCCAAATACCCCTAAATATACCCCAATGCACAAACAAAAGATTAATGGCTCTGCTAGACATGTTAGTCTAATATTTTATGAAACCCTAAGTAAATCTGACAAACGGTCAAAGTTGTCTTCTTAGACGGTTTGAGTGGATTCGGTCCGACTTGTCTTGGGGACGAGTTGTCCACATTACTTAAAACATCCCATCAACGTCGATTTCCGCATCCGTTTCATTCATAAAATATCAACAACCTTATTTGGCAAGATAAGTTAAAAATTACCGCCCACTTATATTACTTTATTTCCTCTATTATAGAGATTTGTTGTACATGAATAATATTCCTGCGCATTTTGCCATTTGGGAAATATAAACGACTTGTAATTACCGATTTTTGGCGATGAAATATTTCATACAATTGTTCTTTGACATCGTAGCCAAAAGCACAGAGGATAATAAACTACATACGGATTTCTATTGAGCACTACTTCCTATGTGCAACTTCAAAAGTTTTGGGTAGTTGGACGATCATTTAAGGTTTTTCTGGTCATATTTTTTGTATTCCAGAAATAAAAGTATTAAAAAATTTTCCAATTAGTTATAAATAACATAATAGCCAGCTAGATAATAACAATGGCACGTATTTCAGCATTTATTGGGTAGAACACAAATCTAGGGTGCTCGCATAAGGCAGCTTAACTGCCTAAAAATATTGCAATCGATCTTCAAAAAGGCAGGGCGCCCTGGAAACTGTAAAAAGGGCACAGGGCGGCACTCGGGAAAGGGCGGGCGGACCGCCCTGTGAAAACGGCCTAGCTGGAGCACTGTCTAAGCATCTACAAACTAAAGGTAAATGATATTTTTTTAGTGAACAAATCTTCAGTAATAATATCAAAGGTCTTTACAGAATATGTGTCATCTTAACCATTTGTATGTAATTCAAAAGGGTAAGTGGGGTATATGTCAATGAGACAGCAACCCTATGACAAAAGGTTCAAAGCAATTTTAATATCTTTAATTATCAAAATTTTGTCATGTGACCGTGACGTCATCCAACGTTTTTTCGTGATTTACCCCTTAAAAATGGAAAGTAGAATTACATGATGCAGAATTATTGTAATATTTTTTCTGTCTATTCATAATAACCTCAAAAGTGTGGTACACACTTTTAGATAACTCGCTACGTGGGTTATTCAGTGTGCACCACATTTTTTATGTTATTTCTTCATAGACAGAAAAAATATTACAGTCATTCCATAAATAAAGTAAGACTTATTCAGCCATGGGAGACAAAAACCTTTATTGGAAGTAAAAATTACTTTGGGGAGGGCACAATAAAGTGAAACAGTAAACCTACAGTTCCATCTCTGATAAATGGATGTGTCAGTTTGCCAATCTTTTGTCGTGATCCTGCTACTTTATCCAAGAACAAATTTCCTCTTTCAACCAGCAACTTCTTTAATTCTTGAATATTCTGGAAAAAATCATATCAATTGAGAAGAAACAAAAACAAAATACAGTTAACCAACTGATTTTTGTCAGAGATTTATTTTGTGACTATAAAAATACAAATGTAGTGTGAATATATGTATTTCAACGCAAAAAAATCAAACTAGGGTCATTTCTTAATACATCAAGAAAATAAGAGAGCTGTCTCATTGGCAATCATACCATATATATATATTTTTATATAGAAATTATTTTCAATTTTCTGTATGTAAAATATCAAAGGAATGGGAAAGAAGTAATTGCAAAGTTTTAGTTAAAGCATTAAAAAAAATTACTAGTTACCTTTGGAGAACAACAATTTTGCTCATTTTTTAATTTTACAAGGCCATAACTTCTATATTTTTTCTTAAAAAGATGAGAAACTGTGTAAACACATACTGAATATTCTAATGATGTTAGTTTGAGTGATATAAATCTAAGGAAGAGTTCTCCAGCTGATGATATAGAGGTTGTACTACTGTCAGTCTCAGTTAATATATTTATAGCTTCCTTTAAACTTTCTCTCATTTCCTGCACAGTTTCAACTACAAAAGAATACAAGAAGATAGTGCAAATGTGTAATTACAGTAAAACATTATGTCATTTTTTTTTTAATTTAATGAAACGATATTAAGTAAAATGTTTTAAAGAAACACTTTTTTTAAATCAAATTTAACAGTGAAGCTTCTCTACCATGCTCATACATATGCATATTTAATCTGAAATGAGACCCAAAGAACTTTCAAAGCAATTTTCAAAATCTTCAAGAGAACATTTCTGGCAAATAATATTGTTTTGCATTAATAATCATTTTCATATCTTGATGGTAAAGGTTTTAGTATAAATTAGATTCAATAAAAGTATTACCAGATTACAACACATATATACTAGGCCAATTTCCAAATTGTAAATGTCTGTTTGTAGATTATTATTCGTGGCAAATCTTGAAATAGAAATGTGACACATTATCTGCATATAATTATGGTATGTCCATGTTTCATCAAATCTGAACACACTATCAATTGACATCTAGAGAAAATCAGGTGATTTCTTTAAGTTTGTATGAAAAAGACTATGTTCTGTTTACATGGTACGACTAAAACTTACCTTTACTGATTTCCAGGAGGTGAATTAATGTTTTTATTGCTGCAACAGCTGCTGCCAAATCTGGTTCATTATTAGTAAGATTTGTGAAATAAGTCAGTATCTCTGTAATATAACATATAAAAATACAGGTAAATCTTATATAGTGTTACTTGGGTTGGTACATACTGAAAGTAAAAATGTAGTCCATGACCAGTTTCCCTTGAAAGAAATTATAAGGGTTGTTCCAGCCCCAAGTAGATCCGACACCGCAATATTATATTGAATAAATACTGTAAAAGTTGGAGAGTTTTCTGAAGTAATTGATTCAGGGTAAGTGGCAATTTGCGAAAGAAAAAAACTTGAAAATTTCAGTGATGATTGGGAATATTTTTAGGAAACAGTATTGATGATGAATTAAAACAGGTAAAAAACCTTTTTATGGAAGAGATTCAGAAATCAAACAATAATTCACAATTTGAGTAGTGAAAAAAGAAAGTATGTGTGCATGAGCTTGGTGATCAGCTGGTGTGTTACCAATTGCTATTCCACCAGAATAAAAATTATTAAATGCTGATTAATGTTGACTAATGATTGTACTTACTTCTGTAATAAATGTTACGTATAACTTCTAATAAAATCTTAATCAACATGAATGCTACATGTATATACTGCAGAATAATCCCTTATCATTAAAGGTCATAAAATGATTTGAATATAAATATTTTACAATAAAACAATAATATATTTCGATAAGTGTCATAGCAAACTGAATTTAAGAAATCGAAATATTGATATTTAAAAAAATATTGGAATATATATCTCATCTAATGAAAATATAATATTTAAATATATGCGTCAAATACACACTTTTGCTGTAATTTATAAAATTCATTAACCTTTATTTACTACAACATGCACAAGTCATACATGTATATATATATAAATATAAACAAAGTCTAAATTGAAAACAATGTTCAAACCTATGATTGCGCAATTTTTACAGGTGTGCATGTAAAACAAATTTCTTGGTAGAGGGGTGTAAATACAGCACAAACAACATTTTCCAAAAGACCAAAAAAGTGAAAAGTATATTTTAAAAAAACGCATTTGACTAACAGGTCGAACAACGGATGTTTTTAAACCCTGCTGACTGCCATTGGCGATTGCCAAATAAATTGATCACCAGATGAAATATGGATCTTTAAATTATTAATTTAATACCAAACAGAAAACAATAAATATATATATCACTTTTATCCCTAATAGGTATTTTTCATATAGGGGCTGAATAGTCTTTAAATATGGGCCAGATGAGATCAACTAGGGCCATAACGACTTGGAACAACTCAAAACCATTATAACCATCCACTAATACTTGCACTAACCATGCTAACTATGCAAACTTATGCAGTCAAGGTAAAAATTTTGGTACTGTTGACATGTCATATCTTTAGTGTACCAGGTGCTTTGTTGTTGCTTATATATTTGTAATTCATTTCTCATTAAATTGGTTTTCCATGTGCCTTCCTGACAGGTGATCATTAATTTATGACCATTTCTGATAATGATAATCTTCATTTTTATTTGGATACCATATGCAATTCAAACTGGTAACAGTGGGTAGTAAAATAAGAAAAATATGACTTCTGATACTTTAACTATGATGGGATAAGCACAATTAAATCTTTTTCTAATGTCTATATATTAAAGAGGGTTTCGTCACAACCTTGTTTTTCCATCTTTTTCTGTTGCAATGATCTGTTCGGTACAAACGATTTTTTTCAATCCGATAAAGATGAGTCTAGAAATATTCCGAACGCTCACCTTCGTCGTTTTCATAATACCTCCTTTCATTGGTCAATTTTCTACTTTCATTTTGTTTTCACCAAATCAAAATTATCGTTATATTGGTATCTTGGAATCTTACTCAATATGGAGACATATCATTGCTTTCTTTCCCCCTTACTTATATTCCCCTGAATTAACGCGCAACATGTGACTATATCTTTGTCTGTGTGTATTTGAAATGGCAGGTAAATGTCTCATTGTCATCCCACACAATAAAGCTTGTTATATAAACGTATTTACACTTTTAGTATTTAGCTATATTTTGCCTCCGAATGACCTTAGATCTACTCCGAATCACCTTTTGACGTCAGGCAACAATCACTTTTTAATTGTGACGTCAAATGTTTTGAATTATGATGTCAAAGTTTACGGGAACCTGTGTGATTTTACGTAATGTCGGACAAATTTGCATACAAGTGTAAATACGTCTATTATATAGACGTAGACATAGACATCTTTTATTACTTCCAGTCATGCCTTCGTGGTGCCCTTAACTGCTAAATGAACAGTACAATAATTCATAACTAAATTTAGTAAATAAACAGATTCATAGATAAACAAGAAAACAGTTTGAATTATACGAGCAGATAAAAAACCAAACTAACTACAAATACAGTACGATAATATGAGGCAGGTGTTACCTGTAACGGATTGAAGTCAGCAAACCTTTAGAATACTTTACATATCCCATTAACAGCAGATTTATATATAATATGAGGCAGGTGTTACCTGTGAAAGGGAATGAAGTCTGAATAAATAATTTTTTTGGATTCAAGCATATTTTAACTTCATAATCTGTTGAAAAAAAAGGAAATACCGAGAATGTTTCCGATGTTGGTTCTGCTGTTAGGGATTTTAGTTGTGATGTCATTTTCAATGTAAACAAACAAATGCTATCATCAGGAAACATTATTTCCATATCAAAGAATTATTAAAATAAAATTGTTACTATTTATATCTTTAAACGACGAAGATACCAAGTCGGTTTGTTATGCTGTTCAAGATTCTGAAATTTGACTGATTGATCAGGGGAGTTCCCCAAGTGAGCACATTTTGTTTGCTATAAAACCGTATGTTGAATACGCTCCAGACTCATTTTGAAATGTAAGGAATTTATTTTAATTGTTTAACTGGCAGTATTCCCTTCGGTAATCAAAAAACGTAAATTTGCAGGAAACAATATGATGCTCCTTCCTATATTTTACTCAAAGTCCCGTGACCAAGAAGACCGGAAGAAAGAAAGAGATTTCTGCGAAAATGCGTTAAATAAAATTCCAAGCATAATTTCTGGTGAAAAAATAACTACAAATACATGACAATAATATGAGGCAGGTGTTACCTGTGAAAGGGTGCAAAGTGAGCAAACCTTTAGAATACTTTACAGTATCCCATTAACAACAGATTTATATATATATAAAGATAGAAACAAGCACAGGTGGATCCAGGGGGGGGGGGGGGGCCCAGTCCCCCCTTTTTTGGGAAAAAATAGGTTGATAATATACATTGTAGGGAATCACTGAAGCATGACTGGAGCGGGCCCCCTCTTAGGGCAGTCAGTGGGCCCCCCTTATGAAAATTTTTGGATCTGCCACTGACAAGTCTAAATTGAAAACAACGTTCAAACCTATGATTGCTATATATAAAGATATATATATGATGCCATTTTCAATATAAACAGAAATTCTATCATCAGGTAGCATTTTGTTTTGTTTTAAAATATAGTTTTATTAAGAACATAATAATCTATACCTAAAAACAACAAATATACAAGGTCGGCTTACTACTGATCTTTGTACAGATACAAAAATCTGCTTGATTGATCTGAGTTGAGTTTCCCCAGACTCATGCTATTGTTTGCTGTAAAATCGTATATTGAATAAGTTCTAGACTTATTTTATTACGAACTCAAACAGAATGAATTCTAAATGTTCGGCCTCATTATTCTTTGTGGTAATCAGTTATACAAATTTGCAGGAAATGTATGACTTACAACATGGCAGCGTGCGTCAACAGAACACGAACAGGGTAATGTGCAAGCTCAACTGTTAAAAAAGTTAGAGAAAAGAAGTTAGCGATTTTGAGTTTATTTGTATATTGATTTTTTCGTTTTATTGATTTTCTTACTGTTATTGGGGACTTTATCCACATATCATGCATATAATTAATTGTCTAGTTTCCAGGCATCTCTACCTGGGGAAGGGGGACAACTCCTACTCCAAAGTAGCACTAGCATTAGCTACTAATCTGCTAATTGTAAAAAATAAATCCCCTTTGCACATGACTAATTTGATAATATTTCTTCTCTTTTATCAAACAAGGTTTGCAACATGCAACTTAATATTAATGTACTATTTTACCTTCATTACTGAATAACCAAATTAATTTATTATCAGAGGACAAATGAGAAAAGTTTTTACAATTTGCTAAAAGTCATTTCTCACATTATGGAGACATACACTCAAATAAGAAGTGAACCTCATCTTCTTTATTATGACAAAGATTACATATTCTACATTGTGTATCTTTAATATATATATATCCAGATTCTTATATCTTCCCTTTTCAATATTTAAGCTATGTGCACTAAGTCTAAATTTTCTAACCACTCTCCTCTGGATTTCATTGCCATCCCTCAGATATGTTTCAAGCTGAAAGCAAGACTTAAACTTCCTGTACGTTCTAAGCTTACTTCCAACTTTAGCATTATGTTTATTATCATTTAATATATATACATATTATTATTATATATGAGGTAGATGTTACTTGTGAAAGATGATAAAATCTGAATTTGCACCTATTTAACAAAAATATTACGCATTTTCTAAATTTTGAATTATTAAATGATTTTGAAACTTCTTAGGACTATTCAAACATGTTCCAATATGACTTCCTTGTTTCGCTAAATGTAACCAAATTATTTGTGTATGTAAAAGACTACTTTCACATTCATTGTTCAATGTGGTCATTGGGCATGTTAGGGTTAACTGATGTAAATTCATCAATAAAAAAACTTGAAGTTGGTCTGTACAGTTGACTGTCATTGTTTTTTTTTTAAAGTTTTATGTTGACATCAGGTGTTTCAGCACAGTTTTTTTGAGGAATTTTGCTGCATGTCACATTGTCAATTTAAAAAAACAAAGTAAAAATGTAAGTCAAGTAAAAGACCATTGAGGTGTAGAGCACTTAGCAGTAGCTGAAAACCATATTATTACTCTTGATTATCTTGATCAGTGTAATAATGAAAGTGCAGAGAAAAAAATGAAATCGGTCCAGAAAAAACACATACACATAATCGGTGATATATGTATTACTGACATGAAAAACATACATGACATATATAGCTACATTGTACAAGTAAAACAATAATAGCTATTTACAGCTTGATATATTTTATAGTCACATTATTATTTAGACTTTATTAACCCCTTAATTAAGCAAATGTCCTCTTTGGTTGTATTGTGTTGTCAGGTTGCTGTCTCATTGACATTTACTTAAATTTATTGGGTTTTCCTATGGAATAATAAGGTATGAAAGAATACATTGCAACATAATGGTTTTGTAAAGTTTAGAGAGTATGGGTAACTAAATTTATATTTTATGTTCTTATAAAGATTGATCTCCAGATCTCATAAATTTATGTTTCAACCACTTGTTTTTTTTTTAGGAGAAAATGGAGTGTCCATAAGTAGTCAGTTGGTTATTATTTTGGACACTAATCCAGTATGGTGGGGCAAAAGTGGATCTCTTGGAGATGGACAAGGTGTAAGTAAAACCTAAGAATATAGTCAAGAGCATGTTTAAACTTCTGCCATATTGTCGAGAGCATGTATAAACTTCTGCCATATAGTCAAGAGCATGTATAAACTTATGCCTTACAGTGGAGAGCATATATAAACTTATGCCATATAGTCAAGAGCATTATAAACTTATGCCATATAGTCGAGAGCATATATAAACTTATGCCATATAGTCAAGAGCATGTATAAACTTATGCCATATAGTCGAGAGCATGTATAAACTTATGCCATATCATATAGTGGAGAGCATGTATAAACTTATACCATATAGTCAAGTGCATGTTTAAACTTATGCCATATAGTCGAGAACATATATAAACTTATGCCATATAGTCGAGAGCATGTATTAACTTATGCCCTATAGTCGAGAGCATGTACAAACTTATAATAGAAAAACAAAGGGTATGGGATATCCATGACAAAAAATCAGTACATGCACAGCAAAAAACACACAAAAAGCAAAGGAATAGCACTTTTATTGCTGTTCTTCATCTCAAAGTCACTATGAGGCCTTCAACACACAGCAAAAAAAATATGCCATAGTCAAGAGCATGTATAAACTAATGCCATATAGTCAAGACCATGTATTAACTTATATCATATAGTGGAGAGCATGTATAAAGTAATGCCATATAGTCAAGAGCATGTATAAACTTATGCCATATAGTCGAGAGCATGTATTAACTTATGCCATATAATGGAGAGCATGTATAAAGTTATGCCATATAGTAAAGAGCATGTATTAACTTATGCCATATAGATTTTATATCTATAATGGTAAGTAAACAGGATATTGACCTCAGTTAAAAGTATTTTGTTCAGGGTTTCAAATAGAACATTATGGTGAATGTTGGGTGGTTGAGCTTGTAGATAGACTGTGTCACTGTCAGTGTGTGGAAAACAAGAGTGCACTGTTTCGCGTAATCAAATTCTTCTACAGTTTTCTAACTAGAGGTGTTAGATTGTCTGTTCTAGGTAATACTTCTTGAAGACTGTAAATTTCTTTAGCTTTGATAATTTGCAGAAATCAGTATCACCTTTCCTTATTTTACTTCTAGTAGATGTATTCTGAAGAATACAGAATATAAGTGTAATTAATAACATTGATATAAATATATTCAATTGACAATTCTTAGTTGTTTTGAGTCTTTGATCAACATTCACATGAATGCAGAGCTGTTAGTTTTATGCATTTTTAGTACAAATGCAGTTTTTATCCCACCAGACACAGGGTTCTCACTAAGGCAAGGCCATGAGTCCTGGACTCATCATTTTCAAAACTGGTGAATTCAAAGATGCATCAAGATTGTAAAATGTTGTATCCACTGAGAGCATATATATCATCATTTTATATCAAAATCTTAAAAATCATCTAAATTTAATGTCATTTCCTTGCTCTTTGTTTGACATGGAGACTGAAATAATGAATTATATAGCAATAAAGTTTCATCTTCTCACTGTTGGACTAGCCACAGCCAAAATTGATGAGTCCCTGGACTTGCCTTTAAAACTGCTTAGTTAAAACCCTGAGGCCCTTAAATGAGCTATTTTTATACGCCCGTTTACGGGACGTATTATGGTATACCGTTGTCCGTCTGTCCGTCCGTCGTCAACATGTCGGACAATAACTTAAAAATGCTTTAACCAATTTGCATAAAACTTTGGTGAATTGTTTATATCTATTGACGTGAGCTCCCTTTCGTTTTTTATAAATTTTAGATTTTACTTTTCTGAGTTACAGGGTTTTATTCATTAAAAAAAGGGGGAATTTCCAGTTTTCGGACAATAACTCAAGAATGCTTTCACCAACTTGCAAGAAATTGGGGTGAATTGTTGATATCTATTGACATGAGCTCCCTTTCGATTTTTATATATTTTAGATTTTACGTTTCAGAGTTACAGGGTTTTATTCATAAAAAAAGGGGGATTTTCCAGTTTTCAGACAAAAAATCAAAAATGCTTTCAGCAGTTCTTATGAAACTTTGGTGAATTGTTTATATCTATTGATGTAAGCTCCGTTTAGAATTTTATAAATTTTACATTTTACATTTCTGAGTTATGGGGTTTTATTCATTAAAAAAGGGGGGATTTTCCAGTTTTCGGACAATAACTCAAAAATGCTGTCAGCAATTCTCATGAAACTTTGGTGAATTGTTTATATCTATTGATGTAAGCTCCCTTTACATTTTCTTAAATTTCTAATATGACATTGAGAATTAATTGAACTTTATTGGTTTATAGTCTGACAACAGATTTACTAAGTATTGCGCAACAGCACAGTGTATCGCACAACAGCAAGACATCTTTAATTGAATATAAATTCAATTTATATAGATATAGAAAGATGTGGTATGAGTGCCAATGAGACAACTCTCCATCCAAGTTACAATTTATAAAAGTAAACCATTATAGGTCAAGGTACAGCCTTCAACATGGAGCATTGGCTCACACCGAACAGCAAGCTATAAAGGGCCCCAAAAATTTACTAGTGTAAAACCATTCACACGGAAAAACCAACGGTCTAATCTATATAAAAATGAGAAACGAGAAACACCTATGAACTACATATACAGACGACAACTACTGTAATCAGATTCCTGACTTAGGACAGGTGCAAACATTTGCAGCAGTCTTCACAATAAACCAGTAGTCCGAAGCCCGAGGCTTGTAAACTTCCTGGTGGGCCTGTGAAAATTAGTTGTACAGGCCTATAAAATTTAAACAAAAAATTCTGAAAAATGGGGTGTGGGCCTGTGGTCCAAAAAGTTTACTGTGAAGACTGTTGCAGCGGGATTAAATATAACCAATTTCAAGTTCTTTGACTACATTTATTCAGAAACCTATAATATGTCAAATATTTAATTACAATCCAAATTCAGACCTGTATCAAGTTTGAATATTGTGTCCATTTTTGTCCCAACTGCTCAGGGTTGGACCTCTGCGGGCGTATCCAGCTGCGCTCAGCGAAGCAGTTTATTATCACTTGTCGTCTGTTGTCATTGTCCATAAACGTTTACAAAAATCTTTTTCTCTGAAACTACTGGGCAATTATAATTCGGGTATCTAGTTTAAAAAATACATCCAATGATCCTACCTGCCAACCAACATGGCCGACATAGATAAAATTAGAACATAGGAGTAACATGCACATTTTGTCTATTATCTCATGTATCTTGAAAAACACTATAGATAAGGAAAATATAAAGGTGCAGAAATGTTCAAAATGTTGAGATCTACAGTTCTGAGCATTTACATCAACACTGTCAGACCACTTCTTATAGGAGTTATTGCCCTTGAATGAAGACTTTAACAATTTACATTTTTTCACAGTATGGGTGCAAAAAAGATATTTTAAAGGAGTTAAAAAAATCTTCCTTTGGAACAACATTGTTTAACTCAGAAATAATACATATTCACAAATTTATTTGTTATACTTCATTTGTGTACCGAAAGATAAAAAACATTCATTGAATTTCTTACCTGTTTTGATATCAAAATTAATATCTTTATTTTAGATAAGTCTCACTAAGTGTTTGGAAAGTGTGATGGTATTTGCCAACTCACATTTGATGATGAGCAGCTTGAATGATTTATCAGTTATTGCAGCACATACAAATAAAAGGTTGGAAATTTTATCAGACAGAATCATGTGTGGATATATCTCCTTGTTGTTATAAATATACCTAATTCCAAATAAAATGTTATTGTAACAAGAATAAAGACACCAATGCATGAATGAGAATATTTCCACTTGGTCTATCTGATTCACCATTGATGTTTCATAACGAGAAGCACTGTAAATTTCCAAATTAAAGTAACATTTTACGACTGGTGCCACTAGATGAGAAGACCATTCCAAAGTACCTGAGTCCCCCCACCCTGGCTTTTGGTGGGGTTTCTCAATCTTTAGCTTTCTGTTGAGTGTTTTGTATACTGTTTTTATAAGATCGCAAAAAAAGCGGTCGTATATTGGTATGACGTTGACGTCGTCGTCCGAAGACACATTGGTTTTCACACTCTAACTTTAGTTTAAATGAATGGATCTCTATGAAATTTTACCATAAGGTTCAATACCACAAAAGGAAGGTTGGGATTGGGGGTTATGGTACCAACAGTTGAGGAATTAGGGGCCAAAAAGGGGCCAAAAATAAGCATTTTTGTAACTTCCAGACATAACTTGTGTGTTAGTGTATGGATCTCTCTGACATTGTACCACAAGGTTCCATATCACAAAGGGAATGCTGGGATTGATTTTGGGGGGTAATTGCCTCAAAATTTTAGGAATTAGGGGGCAAAAAAGGGGCAAAAAACAAGAATTTTTCTAGTTTCATGACAATAACTTGTGTGTAAGTGTATGGATCTTTCTGAAATTGTACTACAAGGTTCCATATCACAAAGAAAAAGCTGGAATTGAGTTTGGGGGTAATTGCCTAAAACGTTTAGGAATAAGGGGCCAAAAAGGGGCCAAAAATAAGCATTTTTCTAGTTTCAAGACAATAACTTGTGTTCAAGTGTATGGATCTCTCTGAAATTGTACTGCAAGGTACCATACCACAAAGGGAAGGCTGGGATTGATTTTTGGGTGTAATTGCTTCAAAATTTTAGGAATGAGGGTCCAAAAAAGGGCAAAAAACAAGCATTTTTCTAGTTTCAGGACAATAACTTGTGTGTAAGTGTATGGATCTTTATGAAATTATACTACAAGGTTCCATGTCACAAAGGGAAAGCTGGGTTTGAGTTTGGGGAGTAATTGCCCTAAACGTTTAGGAATTTGGGGCCAAAAAGGGGCCAAAAAACGAGCATTTTTCTAGTTTCCAGACAATAACTTGTGTTCAAGTGTATGGATCTCTCTGAAATTGTACTGCAAGGTACCATACCACAAAGGGAAGGCTGGGATTGAGTTTGGGGGTGATGAATCATAAGGGGGTTCAAAAAATTGGGGGGGGGATTTTTTTTCCTGATTTATATATAAAAGCAAATAATAATGATATGGTTTGAATAGGTAAATTAAAATTTTTTAAGTTCTTAGACCACATTCATTCTGTGTCAGAAACCTATGCTGTGTCAAATATTTAATCACAATCCAAATTCAGTGCTGTATCAAGCTTGAATGTTGTGTCCATACTTGCCCCACCTGTTCAGGGTTCGACCTCTGCGGTCGTATCAAGCTGCACCCAACGGAGCATTTTATTATGTTATTTTTCTTTGGTTCACTTTTGGCCATGGTGTTGATGCCATTGACAGTATTTCTTCCAATTATGATTTTTGGTACACGCTTGATAACTTTTCTCTTTATTTAGGTAATGTGGAAAATGCAAAGGGGTTCTTATTACTTCTTATAACAGTGGCATTTTGATTTTTATAATAGAAGAGCTATCTAAGTCACATTTATGTGTGCAAGATTTCACCTTTCCGTTAACCTTTTGACGATTTCCATTAACAATTGTTCACATTTATTTCTGAATTAAAAAGAAGATTAAAAGAAATGTACCGAAGACAGTTATCATGTAAAAAAATGCATAAACACCAAATAAAGTACCTGACTAAGAATATTCACAGAAAATTATGAAGAACAGTAATACAAGCGGTGTTCTTTTGCTTTTAGTTTTTTCAAGTGCGTATATGGATTTTGTGTCATAAAAAGTACACCTTGTCTCTTTTCCATCTCTGTTATTGGATCCTAGTTGTTAATTCAATATAAAAATAAGAATGTTTGGTATGTATACCTAGAGAAAACTATCCACCAGAGACCAAAGGATAATACGTTAACAACTATAGATTACTGTATGGCCCTTAACAATGAGCAAACAACCCTTACTTTAAAACAAACTGATGGGGTATAATTTCCTATAAGACAACTATCCACCAGAGACCAAAGGATAATATGTCCACAACTATAGGTTATTGTATGGCCCTCAACAATGAGCAAACAACCCTTACTTTAAAACAAACTGATGGGATATAATTTCCTATAAGACAACTATCCACCAGAGACCAAAGGATAACATGTTAACTACTATAGGTTACTGTATGGCCCTCAACAATGAGCAAACAACCCTTACTTTAAAACAAACTGATGGGGTATAATTTCCTATAAGATCACTATCCACCAGAGACCACATGATAAGGATGTTAACAACTATAGGTTACTGAATGACCCTCAACAATGAGCAAACAACCCTTACTTTAAAACAAACTGATGGGGTATAATTTCCTATAAGTCAACTACCCACCAGAGACCAAATGATAATACGTTAACAACTATAGGTTACTGTATGGCCCTCAACAATGAGCAAACAACCCTCACTTTAAAACAAACTGATGGGGTATAATTTCCTATCAGACAACTACCCACCAGAGACCAAAGGATGAGGACATTAACAACTATAGGTTACTGTATGGCCCTCAACAATGAGCAAACAACCCTTACTTTAAAACAAACTGATGTGGTATAATTTCCTATAAGACAACTATACACCAGAGACCAAAGGATAATACGTTAACAACTATATGTTACTGTATGGCCCTCAACAATGAGCAAACAACCCTAACTTTAAAACAAACTGATGGGGTATAATTTCCTATAAGACAACTATCCACCAGAGACCAAAGGATAACAACTATAGGTTACTGAATGGCCCTCATCAATGAGCAAACAACCCTTACTTTAAAACAAACTGATGGGGTATGATTTCCTATAAGACAACTATCCACCAGAGACCAAAGGATGAGGATGTTAACAACTATAGGTTACTGTATGGCCCTCAACAATGAGCAAACAACCCTTACTTTAAAACAAACTGATGGGGTATAATTTTCTATAAGACAACTATCCACCAGAGACCAAAGGATAATACGTTAACAACTACAGGTTACTGTATGGCCCTCAACAATGAGCAAACAACCCTTACTTTAAAACAAACTGATGGGGTATAATTTCCTATAACATGTATAAGACATCTATCCACCAGAAACCAAAGGATTAGGATATTAACAACTACAGGTCACGGTATGGACTTCAATAATGAGCAAAACCCATACTGTATAGGGACTATAAAAGGCTACAGGATTGCAAAATGTGAAACAATGTAAAAGAGAAAATCAAAAGTCTAATTCATACCAAAATAATAACTGAAGATTCATTATAAAATAGCCCATTTCTCTCTTTGAAAATGATATTATTCAAAGCACCTCCAAAATGATTGTATGTGAATATATTATTAATAGTTTAAAAAGGAAGATATGACACAATTTTGGAGAAATATGTTAAAAGTGAAGATATGAATCTTATTTGATGTTTCAGTGTTGTGTTGTACCCTAACAGAACACATACATCAACAGAGTCATCATCAAACGATGGAAGATATGAATTATTCTGTCGTATGAATGACCAAATAAAAGACGAAGTGAAAACAATTGTATTACAAAATTTGGAAGGAGCCTTTCATTCAGACTCATTAATAGCAGGTGCTATGGCTATAGGTCTTTGCTATTTGAACAGAATTGAAAGAGAAAATGAACTGAGAGAAGGGACTTTATCATCAAGGATATTGGTCATAAAAGGATCAGAAGATAATCCTGAACAGTATATGAATTTTATGAATGCTGTATTTACAGCACAGAAACAAAATGTAGTTATCGATGCCTGTATTTTAGACAATGACTCAGGACTATTACAACAGGCTTGTGATATTACTGGTGGTATATATCTCAAAATTCCACAAGTTACAGGATTACTGCAATATTTACTGGTAAGGTCAGATTTTAGAAAAAGGTGTAACAGCTAAATTTTTAAATTTAAATTTCTGCACATTAATAGTACATACCTTAGAGTTCTTTAATTCACTACATTGCTACAATATTTATTGTTCAGGGTCATTGAGGCAATCTTCCTAAATGTCAACTTAAAGACAATTTAACTAAACTAATATAAAAATAAGAAGATGTGGTATGATTGCCAATGAGACAACTCTCCACCAGAGACCACATGACATAGAAGTTAACAACTATAGGTCACTGTACGGCCTTCAACAAAGAGCAAAACCCATACAGCATAGTCATCTATAAAAGGCCACAAAATAACAAATGTAAAACAATTCAAACTAGAAAACTAACGGCCTGATTTATGTACGAAATATTGAACATGAATTTAAGAAAGAGCATACCTGTTTGTATCTAGAAAAACTTTATGTGTTTACTCAGTCAAACATTACTTAGCAACTGTTTCTTTTATAAATCAGATTAAAGGATCAAAAGCTTATACATGTATATTTTTTTTGAAATTTACTTATCAATCAAATTAAATTCATTTGTTTATGTATATTTTGAGAATTACATTTGATACTGAAAAAGGATTATTTCAATTAACCCCAGAAAACAGAGTAAATGAATAGAAAATGAAAGTAGAATGAATAATTGATCGTTAAGTATAAAATGTATATTCAGAACTATAATACATTAGTCAACAAGGTTCAGCAATACAACTCTTTTGAACTTCTTTTAAAGGAAACTGAACTTGCATTTGAAAGATTTTTTGGAATTTTTTTCAGTGGGTATTTTTACCAGACCCTCTAGAAAGGCCTAAACTGACATTACCACCTAAAGTGCAAGTGGACTACAGAGCGGCTTGTTTCTGTCATAGGAATCTCATTGATATAGGCTATGTCTGCTCTGTCTGCCTATCAAGTATGTAAAGTGTTATCTATTTCCTCAATGAACAGATATTAGTCTTATACATTGAACACAGTGTGATATGAAAGGGTGAAATGAAAACACATTAATTTGGTTTTGCGAGCATGCAGTGTGTTACAAAATTGGGACATTTCTATCAGCTATTTATTAGGTCAATGATGACTTTCAAAGGTCACAACAGACTACTTTTCTGCCAAGGCAACAGAAATGCGATTCCTTCAATAGTATACAAAACACTGACATATTTCACCAGAAAATATTCATTTTTGCTTAATTGAATACTGTAGCATACAAAAAGCCTGAAAATGTCTGATGTTAATGTTTGACACGGCCAGTAAGTGATTTATAGTGTCAGATTGTTTGGATGCGAAAGTCAAGCACAATGTTTCACAGAATTTTCTTATTATTTAAAGATGATATATTCACCATCAAAGATTAATGAGTGAAACAAACTCGTCTGAATTGGATATTGCTTGATATCAACAGCAAGAAGCTCACTAATTATTATATGGAAATTCGAGTTGATATCAAGCGATAGGAAACTCTCACTGGTTATAAAACCTTTTAAAACTTACATTTGAGGATACAGACCTGTTACAATTCAAACACTATCACTGATTTTATTTGATTGAAATGATAGAAATACCTAGTAATTACCATATTGAAATTTTATTTTACATATACCTATAGTAATAACATTAAATTTATTGTATTATATTGCAGTATTCTGTACCTTTAGTCCAATCTGTCCTACATGCCAGTAAGTATCAGTATTCTGTACTTTTAGTCCAATCTGTCCTACATGCCAGTAAGTATCAGTATTCTGTACCTTTAGTCCAATCTGTCCTACATGCCAGTAAGTATCAGTATTCTGTACCTTTAGTCCAATCTGTCCTACATGCCAGTAAGTATCAGTATTCTGTACTTTTAGTCCAATCTGTCCTACATGCCAGTAAGTATCAGTATTCTGTACCTTTAGTCCAATCTGTCCTACATGCCAGTAAGTATCAATATTCTGTACCTTTAGTCCGATCTGTCCTACATGCCAGTAAGTATCAGTATTCTGTACCTTTAGTCCGATCTGTCCTACATGCCAGTAAGTATCAATATTCTGTACCTTTAGTCCAATCTGTCCTACATGCCAGTAAGTATCAGTATTCTGTACCTTTAGTCCAATCTGTCCTACATGCCAGTAAGTATCAGTATTCTGTACCTTTAGTCCAATCTGTCCTACATGCCAGTAAGTATCAGTATTCTGTACCTTTAGTCCAATCTGTCCTACATGCCAGTAAGTATCAGTATTCTGTACCTTTAATCCAATCTGTCCTACATGCCAGTAAGTATCAATATTCTGTACCTTTAGTGCAATCTGTCCTACATGCCAGTAAGTATCAGTATTCTGTACCTTTAGTCCAATCTGTCCTACATGCCAGTAAGTATCAGTATTTTGTACCTTTAGTCCAATCTGTCCTACATGCCAGTAAGTATCAGTATTCTGTACCTTTAGTGCAATCTGTCCTACATGCCAGTAAGTATCAGTATTCTGTACCTTGAGTCCAATCTGTCCTACATGCCAGTAAGTATCAATATTCTGTACCTTTAGTGCAATCTGTCCTACATGCCAGTAAGTATCAGTATTTTGTACCTTTAGTCCAATCTGTCCTACATGCCAGTAAGTATCAGTATGCTGTACCTTTAGTCCAATCTGTCCTCTATGCCAGTAAGTATCAGTATTCTGTACCTTTAGTCCAATCTGTCCTACATGCCAGAAGTATCAATATTCTGTACCTTTAGTCCAATCTGTCCTACATGCCAGTAAGTATCAGTATTCTGTACCTTTAGTCCAATCTGTCCTACATGCCAGTAAGAATCAGTATTCTGTACCTTTAGTGCAATCTGTCCTACATGCCAGTAAGTATCAGTATTCTGTACCTTTAGTGCAATCTGTCCTACATGCCAGTAAGTATCAGTATTCTGTACCTTTAGTCCAATCTGTCCTACATGCCAGTAAGTATCAGTATTCTGTACCTTTAGTGCAATCTGTCCTACATGCCAGTAAGTATCAATATTCTGTACCTTTAGTGCAATCTGTCCTACATGCCAGTAAGTATCAGTATTCTGTACCTTTAGTCCAATCTGTCCTACATGCCAGTAAGTATCAGTATTCTGTACCTTTAGTCCAATCTGTCCTACATGCCAGTAAGTATCAGTATTTTGTACCTTTAGTCCAATCTGTCCTACATGCCAGTAAGTATCAGTATTCTGTACCTTTAGTCCAATCTGTCCTACATGCCAGTAAGTATCAGTATTTTGTACCTTTAGTCCAATCTGTCCTACATGCCAGTAAGTATCAGTATTCTGTACCTTTAGTGCAATCTGTCCTACATGCCAGTAAGTATCAGTATTCTGTACCTTTAGTCCAATCTGTCCTACATGCCAGTAAGTATCAATATTCTGTACCTTTAGTGCAATCTGTCCTACATGCCAGTAAGTATCAGTATTCTGTACCTTTAGTCCAATCTGTCCTACATACCAGTAAGTATCAGTATTCTGTAGCTTTAGTCCAATCTGTCCTACATGCCAGTAAGTATCAGTATTCTGTACCTTTAGTCCAATCTGTCCTACATGCCAGTAAGTATCAGTATTCTGTACCTTTAATCCAATCTGTCCTACATGCCAGTAAGTATCAATATTCTGTACCTTTAGTCCAATCTGTCCTACATGCCAGTAAGTATCAGTATTCTGTACCTTGAGTCCAATCTGTCCTACATGCCAGTAAGTATCAGTATGCTGTACCTTTAGTGCAATCTGTCCTACATGCCAGTAAGTATCAGTATTCTGTACCTTTAGTCCAATCTGTCCTACATGCCAGTAAGTATCAGTATTCTGTACCTTTAGTCCAATCTGTCCTACATGCCAGTAAGTATCAGTATTCTGTACCTTTAGTGCAATCTGTCCTACATGCCAGTAAGTATCAGTATTCTGTACCTTTAGTCCAATCTGTCCTACATGCCAGTAAGTATCAGTATTTTGTACCTTTAGTCCAATCTGTCCTACATGCCAGTAAGTATCAGTATTCTGTACCTTTAGTGCAATCTGTCCTACATGCCAGTAAGTATCAGTATTCTGTACCTTGAGTCCAATCTGTCCTACATGCCAGTAAGTATCAATATTCTGTACCTTTAGTGCAATCTGTCCTACATGCCAGTAAGTATCAGTATTTTGTACCTTTAGTCCAATCTGTCCTACATGCCAGTAAGTATCAGTATGCTGTACCTTTAGTCCAATCTGTCCTCTATGCCAGTAAGTATCAGTATTCTGTACCTTTAGTCCAATCTGTCCTACATGCCAGTAAGTATCAGTATTCTGTACCTTTAGTCCAATCTGTCCTACATGCCAGAAGTATCAATATTCTGTACCTTTAGTCCAATCTGTCCTACATGCCAGTAAGTATCAGTATTCTGTACCTTTAGTCCAATCTGTCCTACATGCCAGTAAGAATCAGTATTCTGTACCTTTAGTCCAATCTGTCCTACATGCCAGTAAGTATCAGTATTCTGTACCTTTAGTGCAATCTGTCCTACATGCCAGTAAGTATCAGTATTTTGTACCTTTAGTCCAATCTGTCCTACATGCCAGTAAGTATCAGTATGCTGTACCTTTAGTCCAATCTGTCCTCTATGCCAGTAAGTATCAGTATTCTGTACCTTAAGTCCAATCTGTCCTACATGCCAGTAAGTATCAGTATTCTGTACCTTTAGTCCAATCTGTCCTTCATGCCAGAAGTATCAATATTCTGTACCTTTAGTCCAATCTGTCCTACATGCCAGTAAGTATCAGTATTCTGTACCTTTAGTCCAATCTGTCCTACATGCCAGTAAGTATCAGTATTCTGTACCTTTAGTCCAATCTGTCCTACATGCCAGTAAGTATCAGTATTCTGTACCTTTAGTCCAATCTGTCCTACATGCCAGTAAGAATCAAGATGCTGTACCTTTAGTCCAATCTGTCCTACATGCCAGTAAGTATCAGTATTCTGTACCTTTAGTCCAATCTGTCCTACATGCCAGAAGTATCAATATTCTGTACCTTTAGTCCGATCTGTCCTACATGCCAGTAAGTATCAGTATTCTGTACCTTTAGTCCAATCTGTCCTACATGCCAGAAGTATCAATATTCTGTACCTTTAGTCCAATCTGTCCTACATGCCAGTAAGTATCAATATTCTGTACCTTTAGTCCAATCTGTCCTACATGCCAGTAAGTATCAGTATTCTGTACCTTTAGTCCAATCTGTCCTACATGCCAGTAAGAATCAAGATGCTGTACCTTTAGTCCAATCTGTCCTACATGCCAGTAAGTATCAGTATTTTGTGGCTTTTAGTTTAGATTCCTGATATAAGTGTGCCAGTAGAGATCACACCCTAGATTTTATCTCTATAATTTTAATAATAACCAAATACAGAGGCACCATGTGTGACAGTGCATAAGCAAATTAGCAAACTTTATAGATTTGTAGTAGAAGATAAAGCTTTTGTCAGGGCTCGACATTACCGTTTGTCTGATTGTCTAGGACAAGTGGACATAGGCGCCGAACAAGTAGAATCGACATAATAGTTGTCCGATGGGACATGTAAAAAATTCATGATATAAAACATATCAAACTTTCAAGACTTACAAATGCCTAAAATATGAACGATTCTTTTATTGATCTAACGAAATCTAAATTCAATTTTAATTCTGGTATTTATGATGAGTTTATTCATTGATTGACATGCTTGCTAATGGAAGCCTTCATATCAAAGGAGATAAATGATTTGTATCCATACTGTTTATTTTATTAGTGTCTTTTTCTTTACAAGGACAAGTTTGGTATTGATTGGTATCAGGTTTAAAAGATCTTATCAAATGCCAAACAATTCAGACGAATTTCAGACCTTTGACCCAGAAACCTAAAAATCTGTAGGGGTGTTTCACCTTAACCTCCTCATTTGAATCTGAAACATTTGAATAACAAATGGTATATAGAAAGCTGTACAATGATAATCAGTTCAATTAAAGCACTTAACTCTTTATTTATGGTAAAATTTACAACAGAATCAATGGTACAACGAAAACAATACTGCATCAAAAATGCTCCAAGTTACTGAAAGTAAGCCTAAGGGAAATAACCTGGTGATATAAAAATCATTATTATACTTCTAGTTAAAATGCCAGATTTTGATTGGGTAATAAGTGGGAGACATTCTACTCTATCCAATGGCTTATAATCTATTACCCTTCATGGAGATGCTTGATCATTTTTGCACTTTATTAAATATGGATGGTTATGTACATGACATGATAGTTTTATACGTTCAATTTGAAATTTAAATAGAGAATATCATTTGGCTTTTTCAATATCACATCCGTATCAACTCGAGACACCAATATAATCCCAAGAACTCTGCTCTAGGGATTATATTGGTTGAGGGTTGATACGGCGTGTGATATTGAAAAAGCCATATCATATACACTTTATTATATACCTCAAGTAGATGTTTTTTTATGTGACATGACGTTATACAGATTAGGGGTTTGATAAAGCCTTTGCAACACTGACTGATATCAATGACGTGATGTCATACAGATTAAAGGTGTGATAAAGCCTTTGCAACCGTGACTGATATCGATATCATCACGGATGGCTGATACAGCATGATTGCTGTTGACCGTATTACACATACAACTTATTTGTATTTACTGCTAAGTATATAATGAAAGACAATAATAACAACATTGAGTACTATAAATTAAATAACACATAGCTGAGAGGGTGATAGTGCAGATTGTTAGCATTCAAAAAAACATTGTCAACCATGGCTTTGCTCAGTCTCAGGGTAACAATCTGCTCAATCCTCTTCTCAGGTATGTGTTATTTATTAACTGTCCTACATTCTAATATTGGTGACTGTTATTCAGTTTAGATATTACACAGTAATGTCAATAACAGTTTAAGAATACAAAATCTTGTACAGTGCCGAAAGTTTAAAATTTGTACAGAATAGGAATAATTTGTTCCTACATTATTTTACCAAAATTTTTGATGAATTTCCAAGACTACTATATCTCAAAAAATTAAACTGATGTAAAAAAAATATGTCTGTATTTTGAATGAGTTAAAAAAATATGTGCTTACTGTATATTGCATTGACCATATGTATTTTTGTGATATAGTCACTGACTATATTGCATTGACCATATGTTTTTTTGTGATATAGTCACTGACTGTATATTGCATTGACCATATGTATTTTTGTGATATAGTCACTGACTGTATATTGCCTTGTTTGTGACATTGATAATGTGTTTCTATAGCGTTTTAATTATTACATATTATAAGATTTTTCAGCTGCAAATACAAATGAAAAACACAAATTTAGACAACAAAGTGTTAGCTGTTAACTTCCCAGTTTTGTTTAAAGTTGAACAATTCCATTGATTTATTTAAATTGATTCAAATTTATTTTATAAATTAAGATTTCTTCACTTTTAAATTGATTGATATAATTGTTTTTTTTTTCAGAACATCATTTAAATTCCTTGGACCACCAAAGATGTTAAAGAAAAGAAGTAAGAAACTACAAACCTAAGAAATCAGGATTAGGGAATTTAAAGCAGGACATAACCTCTTATGAAAACCAGATCTGTAGTGAATCAATGAATGGTACTGATATGTTCTTGCCAAATAAAATTAGAATTACTCTTTATCAATGTTTTTATTTTACATACGACTTATTTCCATTACCATATTATTGAATATCTCATGGCCCAATATCACTAGAAAGTACTTTTTATCACTTTTGTTTTCGTTGAAAGTATAAAATGCTTTTTAAAAAACAAAAACAAAATACCAAGGGGACAATCTTAAATGTAGTCAGTCAGAGGACAATCTTAAATGTAGTCAGAGGACAATCTAAAATGTAGTCAGAGGACAATCTTAAATGTAGTCAAGACAGAAACAAATGCTTCATTTCCATTAACCTTCCATTTTCAGCACTGTACTTTCACTTTGTCTAATTTATAGTGATCTACTGTTTTTTCTCTCAAAGTATAAGAAACCATAACAGTTAATTAATGCAAATGGCTTGGCATGCCCTAGGTTTGCTTAAAAGAAAGAGTAAATTTGAATAAAAATACAAAACAGGTTTTTTGCAATACTAATTATTTGAATCTTTCATTGAAATCCAGTCAGTAGTTGAAGAGAATTTGTGAAACAAAATCTACTTTTTGTTCTTTTGTAGACATGATAAAAGTTTTATATAAAATCAGATGTGGTATGATTGCCAATGAGACAACTATCCATTATAGTCCAAATGATATGGGTTTAAACAACTATAAGTCACAGCACAGCCTTAAAAAATGAGCAAAACCCATACTGTCATGTGTATAGATACAAGAAGATGTGGTATGAGTGCCAATGAGACAACTCTCCATCCAAGTCAAAATTTATAAAAGTAAACCATTATAGGTCAAAGTACGGTCTTCAACATGGAGCCTTTGCTCACACCGAACAGCAAGCTATAAAGGGCCCCAAAAAATACTAGTGTAAACCCATTCAAATGGGAAAACCAACAGTCTAATCTATATAAAAAACTAGAAACACTTATGAACCACATCAACAAACGACAACTACTGAACATCAGATTCCTATAGTCATCTATAAAAGGCCTGGACATAGCAAATATTAAAAAATTCCATTGAAAAAAATAAGTCTGATTTATGAAAAAATTGTATGTATTTCTTTAGGGGATGGGTCAAATAACAAGACATTTTCCCATATATATGTAAGGGGGAAGTTTTTTTGTAACATAATATAACAATTCAACCAACTTAAAGGTACACATATAGCTACTTGAAAATCAAAAATCAGTTGTAGATTCACATTGCAGTTATATAAGAAATATTCTGAGAAAGTTTCATTCAAATCTAATCTCCGGTTTAGGAGAATGTTTCAAAGGAATAACATACACTTGATATTACTCCAGTCCTCTTTTAGATATGGCAAAGTCCCTAGAACACAAAAATCCTTTGGACCAAGACATAGAGTGAGAGTTGCAAGGTCCAAAAAGGCAATAGTTACCCAATTTTCCATACAACTTTTATTGAACCCAGTTGATGGTTGAAAAGGACTTCTGTTTAATATGAGATGCCTTATCCTTTTCACAGGTACAGCGAAATCCATGTCATTATTTGATATCCCAACCCCCACCCACCCACCCACCCCAAAAAAAAACAAAAAAGAAAACTCAACCAGTCACTGATTTAAGAGACAATGCAGATACAGTGTGTACAGAAAAAAAACCCAAACTAATAGATGGTCCAGTGGTTGTCCAGGGTCACTATATGTCATAATTATTCCCCCCCTTTAATTTGAAACTAGGGTCAGATACTGGTTATTACTTTTGATTTGCTTCTCTTTTTTTTTTGTCTTTGGTGTTGTTTTAATATAAATAAGAAGATGTGGTATGAGTGCTAATGAGGCAACTCTCCATCCAAGTCACAATGTATAAAAAGTATAATATAAAAATAAGGAGATGTGGTATGATTGCCAATGAGACAACTTTCCACCAAAGTTCAAATAAAGTGGATGTAAGCAATTATAGGCAACTGTATGGCCTTCAACAATGAGAAAAACCCATACCGTATGGTCGGCTATAAAAGGCCCCCACATGAAAAATATGAAATAATTCAATTGAGAAAACTAACGGCCTAATTTATAACAAAACAATTTACGAAAAACAAATATGACAGACATGAACCAATGACAACAACTGAACTACTGAACTACAGGCTCCAGACAGGCACATAAAGTATGTGGTGGGGTTAAACATGTTTGTGAGCTCTGAACCATCCCCCTAACCTTGGACAGTGGTGTAACAGTACAACATAAGAACAACATAAGCATGTTTTATGGCAGGGGGTTTGCTCATCATTAGTGTTGATGTATTTGTTTACAACTTTGTTCTTTGTCCTGTGGTGGATAGTAATTTCATTGACAATCATAATTATAAACAGACGTAATGCTTTACTACATGAGAGACATAAACTTTTACAAGAATCTTCCCCTCTGAAACTACTGAGGAAAATTTAACCAGACTTGGCCACAACAAACATTAGGGTATCCCCTAAATGTTTCCAATGACCCTGCCTGCCATCTAAGATGACCGACATGGCTAAAAATAGAATTTAAAGGGTGAAATGCAAGTTTTGTCTTTTATCTTAAAAACCGCTATAAATAGAGAAAAAAGTGGGGCAAAAATGGTCAGAATGAAGAAATTGTCCTACTTTAAATTTACATCAAAAGTGGCAGACGACATCCTGTAGGAGCTATTGCCGTTTAATGATGACTTTTTCTATTTTTGCCTATCTTCTTGAAAAATTATAATAGATAGAGTGAAACTTCAAACAACAAAAATGATCATCAAGACAAGATCTACCAATAAGTCAACATGGCTGAAACTATCAGACAACTCCTTATTGGAGTTGTTACCCTTTAATGACGATTTTTAACAATAATTACACCTTATATAAGAAAGCCAGATTTTGATTGGTTGATAGCCAGTGTATTTTCGCATATTCTAATATTTTTCCTCATTTCAAACGAATTTGCCTGTTCTTCACCACTGCCGGTGAATTTGCCTCAAATACCATGGTATTTGCCATTTTGGATATTCCTTTTTTACCCTCTCGAGCATTTTCCCGCCAATTTTTTTTTCGGATATGACGTTATGTAAGCGTACTTTCATTCCGCCGTGTATTTATTCCAGGTAACTGTTTTTCACTAGAGAATATTGGATGTAAATAGTGTGAAAGCGTCGATCTTGATATCGTTGTTTTGTTTATATTAGATCGGTTTATTGTTTACATAAATAAATGGGTTAAAATTAAAATGATTTTCAAGGAACCAGTTTAATTAATCTGAGTCAATCCAGTAAATAATATTGATGATGAGGAGGAGGATATTTTTATAACTCAAAATACTCAATGATCAGGACATTGAACTTGATATAAACCAAATTTAAAGAGTAGATTTGTTTTACATAAAGTTTCAATTATAGAAGCATCCTTTGATATTGACATAGAAGATATGATTTTATATCCAAGTCGACCGAAAAGCAAATACAGTAAAACTTCGGCAATCCAATAAATATAAATATTACAATAAAGTGACAATTTAAAAGCATATGATTTTATAGATTTGCATAGAAAAATTATTTAAATCTTATTCGTTAATAAGCATTATTGTGTTATCGTGTGTTCAAAATGAGTATTAATCACTTCATCAATGTATGGATCTAAACTGCGGCACTAGTGTAATTAATCCCTGTATAAAATAACTAGTGCAATCATTCCGGTACAAAAACACTAGTGTGAACATTCCTTGGATGAAAACTCTCCACTTTTTACATAAATCAACTATGCAAGTTTCAAATACACTAAAAATTATTAAGCCATATTTTATATATATTTCCCCTTCAAAAAAACTTTTTTTTAGAACCTTCAGTATAATGACTGGTGGATGTTTTACACTGGACCCGCATAGAAAAACCTGGTGAATTTTTGTTGGTGGATAAAAATCACTGGAGATTTTCTTCCTCCGGATAAAGTACACTGGCGGAATCAAACCACTGTTACAATGTAAAAAAAAGCGAGCTAACGCGTATTAGTACATGTATAATTCCCGCGGTTCTATGATAATATCCTCTTATCCTCAAATTATGCATAAACATGTTAATGAATTAGTTTCAATCCAAATCTATTCGGTGTAATTAAACAGATATATCATGTTATGGAGGGGTATTTGCGAAAAATACCAGTCTTGGGATCGAATTTCCCTCGCCTAGCAGCTCGGGAAATTTTACAGTCCCTTGACTGGTATTTTTCGCAAATACCCCTCCATAACATGATATATCTGTTCATTATTTGCAGTTTTGCCTAATATCATAAAAACTATAAGAGATAGATAGCAAAAATGATCAGCAAGACCTGGGACTATAATACTAGTATAATAGTCCCAGGTAAGACAAGATCTAGAAAGAAGTGAAATTTTCGTTTATAGACTCTTTATAGGAGTGATTGCCCTTCAATGCCGATTTTTCTTTACCCTTGTATATGCTTTGGGCAAAAATTAAAAAAGATAGAGAGAAACTGTCAACAGAAAAAATATCAGCAATACAATATCAGAGACATATAATACAATTATATGTTTCTGGCAATATCAACAAAATTGATTTTTCTCATGAATGCTATTCTAGTCTACAATGTTGGAAAGTGTCTATTATTGAAATGTACATATGTCTAGGTGAGCGACACGGGCTCTGTAGAGCCTCTATTTTCATATAACTTTTGATTTTTATATTAATTATAAAAAAAAAACGAAAATATAGATTGAGCAAATATTTAAAAAATGATACTAAATGAATTTAATATTGGGCATTTTTTTCATTTTTATTATTCAGTTAAAGAGAAATATTTTCAATTTTATTCATTGAAGATTATTTTAAGAATTCAAGAGAGTTAAGTGAAATGTGACATATGAATAATCTCGAAAATTGATCAATTGATTACTCAGTATACGAAAGTCATTGCTATATTTAATTAAAAGTTAAAAGCATATACAATCTGACATTAAATTACAGTTTTGCTGGCTGATCTTTCATACTCGCAAACATATTACGTACTCCATATATAATTTTGTGTGCTTCGTCAAACTGGGGCTGTAGCCTACTTTTTACTCTTTCCATCCAAGTTTTTACAACCGGACTGTCTTCGTATAGTTTTTCTTCATGCACAGCAGACAGTTGAATTAATTCACAAACTCCAAGTATATCAGCAACAGAAAGCTCTCTTCCACAGAGAAAAGGTCGGTCTTTTAGCCAAACCTGCTCCAAAAAATTGATTGTCTTTTCTACTTCTGCTCTCAATAGGTCTACTTTATCAGTATCTTCTGATTTATTTTTCATCTTTCTAAATAACTATAAAACAAAACATAATAATTGTAAGTACAACTGGAATATTTTAACAATTTCTACAAAACTGAACTTCTTGTTAGGTCTGTTACCCCACAGTATCATCATTAAGTAGCTTATCATCTTAATATCAAATGAATCTATAAACACAAATAAAAATAACACTTTATAAGTTTGGTGTGGCAGATGCCCTTTTCAGTATTAACTTTCACTAGAAACATCAAATACCAAACATTTCAACGCAAAGGATGTTTGAATACTTGAGAAGCTATATGACCATAAGTGACTGTAAATGGCTTTTACTTATACTCATGTAAGAGTGTGTGAATGGGGTTTACAGAATAGAGAATAATGGGCAAAAAGTGCAGAATAAAGGGCAAAAAGTATAAAGAATAGAGAATAATAGTCAAAAAAATAAAGAATAGAGAATAATGCGCAAAATTAATAAAGAATAGAGAAAAACGGCTTAGAAAAAGAATACAGAATTGAAGGACCCCCCATCCAGACCCGTTTGTAAAAGTATATTAAGTTTGTATGCTAGCTTATACTAAATTTAATGTAATATTATTATCATATTGTACACAGGAGAAGACTACATAAGTAAGTGTCTGATCCTATTTGAATCATTAATTGAAAGAAAATTATCATAAACTTAACTAAGCATTATTTAAAAACTATATATATATGTCCTATAAAAATGGCATTACCATGAAAATCCAATGGTATTGTCAGATTGACAAAGTGAACATGTGGAATCCACGACAGAGTTAAACTAACGCTAGTGAGCTGAGCAAGTGAGAAAATGCCTGTAACGATTAACCAATTCATTATGTAAGAATGTGAATTGATAATTCCAGTCGTTCTTCCTCATAACCTTGCTTGGTAGCTGTTGAGTTGAAAGTATACCTCTGTGAACCAGCACATCAAAACATATATAAACTGAGGTACATAAACGTAACAGGAACTTACAACGGAGACAGTCTTTTATAAGAATGGGAATTTAACAATCTGAAAACTGAAACCCTCGAGTTTTAATTTGTTTATGAGAATCAAATAAATATTATCTAGATATGAAGCAGATGTTGTCTTAGATGAGATATTATACGATATTTATTTCAATGGGCCCGTTTGTACAATCTCAGTCATTATGATATTCCTTAAGCAGAGTAAAAACCCTCTTGCAATTTACAAATTTTAGATAGTACTGGCCTCTATTCTATATGTGTGTTTCTATTGGCTAAACACTTCATGAAAACCATTACCAGTTTGAAGCACTAGCAGAAGGCATTACATGATAAATAGCAAGTACAGCTATTGAAATTCATCAGTTACATTAGTCTTTCGTCAATTATCAGAAGTATGTTTTGTAGATTTTATACTAATTCATATTTACTGTACGTTTTGTATATTTTAAGTGATACAAAAGAAAGGGAAAGGGCATTGTTTAAAGTATAGAGTGTTTCTGTGATGTCTGTAACATATTGGATTATCCAACGTCACTGCGTTCAAACCACTTAACATATATCTGTGTTCATCTTGAAAAAAAAAACAGTATAACAAAAATACAGAACTCCAAGGTAAATTTCAAAAGGGGGAAGTCCATAAAACTGACAAAATCAAACGTTATCAACCAACGGAACGAGTGCCAAAAAACTGTCATATCCCTGACTAGGTACAGGCACTTTTGCAGCGCCACTAACGATTTGTATCAACTATTGTCACATTAAAGTTTATCAAAATAACACTAAAATTGTTTAAAACTTGATATAATGCTGAAAAGACATATACACTCACAAAAGACAGCAGGCATGTTTTTCCAGAAGAGCGTTTAGGGTTAAAAAAATCCCAGTGTTTCGAATAAATAAATATTCTATTAACAGAAAATTTACCAAAAATCATATCAATTACTTTTCCTGTCAACACGAAACGCTGACTACTGGGCTTATGAAACCCTCGGGAACGAAACTCTGCCAACAGGGGCATAAATCGGTTGAGAAAATGTTTTTAAAAAAATCATGGCAAAAAGGGTTATACCAAACTCTGGAAAAGATTTGCTGACTTCATTCTTGTGTTCCAATGCTGCCAGTTCATGTATTCGTCTACTCTTGCTTGAGCTTGTATGTCAGCCCTTGGGTACCAGTTTTCAGGCGTGTTATACTTTTCTGCCAAATATTTCAATATCGCAACGCTGAAAAAAGCATCAGAGCATCAACACTGACAATTTTGTATCCGTAAACAGAATTATACGACTTACGTTTTTGCTGATTGATCTTGAAATGGTTTTCAAGCGTCCTTGTGACATTTTATTTGGAGGGGGGAGTAAACACATAAATCATTTTAAATTAAAGAAAGCTTATTGTTCGTGTGTGTTCTGAGCAGATGAAAAAATGTGAACTGAGGTCAAAGTTCAATGATACAAACACTTAATGAGAAAGCGTATTTGTTTGGGTATATTCGAATGTTTGTGTTTAGTTTGTTATGTGTGGTGTAAGAATCATTTGTTGAAGACATACCAGAGACTAAAGACGTTGAGGCAATTTTTCAAGCTACTTCTATCAAGTTCGAGATTTTCTCAGTATTTAATGTTGTTGAATAATCATAGGTTTCCCAACTCCACATTCCATATTTTGTTATATATATTTATTTACAATTAGAGAATGTCATATCAAGTTCCAGAAGAATTAAATATGATTTGACGACTGGAATCTTATTTATTTAAACTTACTTATAAATTGAAAAATTGTCCAACGAAATTTGGAAACCTTGATTAATGTTTTAATATATCATAATAGTTACCTTTCTGTTAAAATGAATCCATCATCATCCAGAACGGGTACCAGACCGAAGGGATTTACTTTTTTGTATTCATCTGATCGATGTTCTCCTGTAAAGTAAATTTTATTTCTGGACATGATCTATTTGTTTAGGTTTTCAAAAAGTTTTTGATTTTTCAGAATCTACTTTTTATTAATGCCAATAGTTGAATTTACCTTTTCTCGCAGTATATTTATAGATCTTGTTAGACTGGAAAAATATTTCAGGTTATATGATTGCCAATCTTTAGTAAATCAAGAAAATGAATCGTCAATACACCATGTTTTATATATACTTAATGCGCGCCTGACGTACTAAATTGTAAGCATTATAATTCGATATTTAATTGCAACCACTGCATGGGTAAATATACTACTAGCTGTTGAACGATTCGTTTTAGAAGGTATCACAAGTCTGTTGTTAGCACGCATGTGCTGTATCTCTAATACCTCTACGGTTTGTTTAACATGTATCCAACACTACCTTTCCACACCTTTGAACATTTTTTTAGGGTGTCTCCTGGATTTTTTTTATTTCATTGCTTAACTTTTAAGTCATATGATACTTCTTCAAATTTAATAAAACAGTTGAAAATGTTTTATAAACTTAAAAGTCTAAATTATACAATAAAAACACTTGTTATAGACTTTCCTATAAAAGAAATCCTCTATTTCATCGAAATCTTCAGAAATGTTTGCTATTGAATTATTGTCTTAACGTACTCTAATTGGCGGACGGATTTTCCGTATGCCGTGACCTTAACAATGCCACCTTTCGTTAGTAAACAAACGTGGAAAGAAGATAGTAATAACCGATTTTGAAATAAAAAAAAAATAATACACCAAATCATTCCACAACTGTAATGACAAAGTTTAATTAACAAATTGGTACGCATGTAAAACACAAAAAATCATTGATCACAAGTTGAAATATTTTTTGTCGATTATACTTATTGGATTCGTAATAAAAGTAACAACAAAAAACGTTTACAGAGGACTAATTTTGATATACATGCATGTATTGGTTTAATAACTCCCTCAACATAAACATACCAGTAACTCAATTCATATGACTTTAAGCGGCATTAAAAATTGATACTTAAATACTGCAGTCCCCCTCGTTTCTATGATGTACAACCATGCAACTTATTAGCAAAGGACATTCAATATTTGATTTTTTCCATATCTTGTATTCTTATTTCTCTAATTCTTTGGCAATTTAACCCTTTCTGAACCCATTGTATAAAACTTTTTAATCATCGTGTGGTTGCCGATGATCTCAGAAGATGATTGGCTGAGTTTAAAGGTCATAACCTTTATCAGCTCACTGGATGAATCGAAATGTGCTAACAGATGTTTTAGAAATTGACAACTTTGTGGAATGTGGCACTCGAAGGGGATTTTCGTTTATTAAAAATGAAAATTTATTTGATAATCATTAGAGAAACAAATTCTTACATAGTTACTCGTGGATTATCGGATTTATCCAATCTCGATAGTTAAATAATCAATGTTAAAGTCCTTGGCGAGGCTCGGACTTTAACATTCGATAATTTAACTATCTCGATTGGATAAATCCGATAATCCACTGGTACCAACGTAAGAATCTATTATAATATATATCAATTTATTTTCAATAAGAAAGATACACAGGTTTGCAATTATGTAACTATAATAAATAAAATTGAGAATGGAAATGGGGAATGTGTCAAAGAGACAACAACCCGACCATAGAGCAGACAACAGCCGAAGGCCACCATTGGGTCTTCAATGCAGCGAGAAACTCCCGCACACGGAGGCGTCCTTCAGCTGGCCCCTAAACAAATATGTATACTAGTTCAGTGATAATGGACGTCATACTAAACTCCGAATTATACACAAGCAACTAAAATTAAAAATGATACAAGACTAACAAAGGCCAGAGGCTCCTGACTTGGGACAGGCGCAAACATGCGGCGGGGTTAAACATGTTTTTTGAGATCTCAACCCTCCCCCTATACCTCTAGCCAATGTAGAAAAAAAAACGTACAACAGTACGCACAGTAAAACTCAGTTTAAGAGAAGTCCGAGTCCGATGTCAGAATAGGAAACAAAAGAAAATAAACAAAATGACAAAACTTGATACATAAATAACAACAGACTACTAGCAGTTACTGACATGCCAGCTCCAGACCTCAATTAAACTGATTGAAAGATTATGTCTTCATCATATGAATATCAGGCACAATCCCTCCTGTTAGGGGTTTAGTATAATACCATCATAAAATATATGAGAAGAACATAACCCGTGTCATGCCAACAACTGGTTTTAGAATAAATATGTTTAATTCCGATGCAAAGACACTATAAGTGAATCAATATCAAAGCCAAAATAAGCAATCTTTAATGACCTGACAACAGTATCGTAAGTATACATACTTATAAAGTTCTATCTAATGAAAATAATGTTCATTAAAACCTTAAAATATAAACTGTACTGACCTTTTCTAAGTGCAATCGGTTTCGGTTCAAATGAAATTTTATTTATTTTTAGAAATATATAGATTGCCCTACACGGCTGTGACATCAAATCGTAGTAATATCTCAAAACCATGTTGCAGTGATTATAAACACAACACCAGTCTGGTCCGCTAGCAAACCTAAGCAAGCTAGATATTGTGGAGATTGAATAAGTGTTTAAATATGCATTTCTGTTTGATTAAGATACAAAATATGTGAATAGTTTATGATACATTGGAGATTGCCATACACGGTGAAGATGTAGAACGTTGTTGGTAAATCAAAATACGTTCTACATTTTGACCTTCGTGTAAATTAAACTTATTAAAACAGGGGGCATTAAATAGGAGTGTACAGGGCTGATATGCATAAAACTACTTAAGTTAAGATTTGTTCCGAATGGACGGTTTTTTCTACATGTCCTACGACAAATTAATACTACGGTTAGATATCTTAACTTAAGTGGTTTTATGCATATCAGCCCTGATTCTCAAATGTTACGGTTACTACAATGTGTTAACGCTGACTAATTAGTAAGAGGAAGAAATGATTTGTTAACTCTGACTTATTAGTAAGAGTAAACAATGATTTGTTAACTCTGACTAATTAGTAAGTGGAAGAAATGATTTGTTAACTCTGACTGATTAGTAAGAGGAAAAAAATGATTTGTTAACTCTGACTAATTAGTAAGTGGGACTAATTAGTAAGTGGAAGAAATGATTTGTTAACTCTGACTAATTAGTAAGAGGAAAAAAATGATTTGTTAACTCTGACTGATTAGTAAGAGGAAGACATGATTTGTTAACTCTGACTAATTAGTAAGAGGAAAAAAATGATTTGTTAACTCTGACTAATTAGTAAGAGGAAAAAAAATGATTTGTTAACTCTGACTAATTAGTAAGAGGAAAAAAATGATTTGTTAACTCTGACAAATTAGTATAAGAGGAAGAAATGATTTCTTCTGTTTGTTATCTAATAGTAATACACAATGTGTTATCGCTGACTAATTAGTAAGAGGAACATGATTTCTTCTGCTTGTAATCTAATAGTAATACACAATGTGTTAACGCTGACTAATTAGTAAGAGGAAGACATGATTTTTTCTGCTTGTAATCTTCTCGTTTTACAAATGACATGAACCCAACGTTTCATATAATATTATAGTCTTTAAGTACCACTACTGGAGCAGGGAACTGCTTACTTGCAAGTCCGGAGGTCATGCGTACACCCTATCTTTTCAAGTTAAAAATGGTTCAATCCTGTTGCTTTAGAATACATGTTTGATTGTCCCCCTAGAAGCTACTACCTCTTATTTGTTTTGGATTTGTGCTATTTCATTTTTCAATGTCTGTTTTCTTTTTATCTATTCTTTGTCCAGAAAAACCCTTTCCATTTCAAACTTTTTATATTTGGTCATGTATTGGAGACTTCAGGGCTAAATATACATGTTTATTCCATATTGAGTGACCTTAAGTAGGTTTTTCTATATGAATCGGATTTTGAATAAAACAGCATATTCACCTGAAGAAAACTGATATTCACCTAGCTAAACGTCACTGTGACGCGCTTTTACATGTAACGTTTTGGTAAAATGATTGATGTACAATTGGTTTTGGTAATTATTTGTCATTAAATACATTGTTTTGTCGCGGAATATGGAATAAAACAATTACTGTCTTTTGTTTCGGTAAATATGTGGTTTAATTGACTTTTGAAAAACTGATACTCACTTCGGCCTTCGGCCTCAGTGAATATCAGTTTTTCAAAAGTCAATAAAACCACATATTTACCTCATCAAAAGACAGTAGTTTTATATCATTCCATATTGAGTGACCTTTAGTAGGTTTTTCTATATGAATCGGATTTTGAATAAAATAGCATATTCACCTGCGGAAAAAAACATATTCATCGCGTAAAACGTCGCGTGCTTTTTATTTACGTTTATTATTATGGTAAAATCGTTTGATGAACAATTTCGCATGCATTTCTCTCTCAGAATACGGAATAAAACAATAACTGTCCTTTGATTCAGTAAATATTTGATTGAATTGACTTTTGAAAAACTGATATTCACTTCGGCCGTTGGCCTCAAAGAATATCAGTTTTCAAAAGTCAATAAAATCAAATATGTACCTCATCAAAAGACAGTTATTGTATAGTATATGGTTAATGTATTTGAAATATTGTCTATATTTTAAGACAAATATACAAGATTAGGTCTATGTTAGAAAAGTATAATTTTATTTATGAGGCTTAGAAAATGGGGAAGGGCGATGTTCTACTGTTTCGTGCCGAATACAAAAAGTCGATATTTTTCAGACATTGACCTAATATTGTTTATATACTGCAGCTAAAATTGGCTACCATAAGTTATGCAAATATCAACACAAACACTGAAACGTAATTTACATCCCTAAACGAACCTCAAATTGTGAAGTAAAGTGACGTGATATGAAATCGGCATTGCACGAACTATCACTTTATTACTATGTTTGATAGATAAAGATAACAGGAAGTGTTCTAGATAGTGGAAATGGGGATTGCAGACCCTTCCGGAGCGCTTTAGTGCAGCTCGCTTTTTTGTGGGTTCGTGTTATATTGCACTTGGTTTTCTTTTATGTGTTAAAGAGAGACGAAAGATACCAAATGATCATTCAAACTCATAAGTCGAAAATAAACTGACAACGCCATGACTAAAAAAGTAAAAAGATATAATTATTTGTTTGAACGTAGTTTTTATTATGTTCAATGGCCGGTGCTTTATCGAAACTTTTAGTTCGTTAAATAATTCTATTGTCTCTTCATGATACAAATAGATACCTGTCAGGTACTTGAGATAGGGAGATGAGATACCAAGGATGCAATCAAAAAGTCCAATAAAACAGACAACACTATGGCCAAAAATAAAAGTGACGAAAAGATAAACATCAGTAAAAAAAAACCAATAAAACAGAAACAAACAAACCCCACTACAATGGGGCCCGGAAGGGTATATAGTTCGTGCTCCACATGTGGCACCCGTCGTGTTGCTCGTTCAAGTCAAAATCCGATGAATGACGAATTCGGTAATGTCCCAATCGAGGAAAATTTCGGAAAACGTATATCTGAAGCTATGTAAAATATAACATTCTTATTGAAACTATTCACCTACTTGGATACAAGGGTAGGAAAAGAAATGTTTAACGTATTGGTATGAAAGAAAAAAAAACTAATAAAGGACATGCTCCCTCTATAGCTATCGGGATAAAACTTTATGATTTTAGTCTACTTAACACTTCGGAGTTCTGGATAAAAATGGATCAGATGATATTATTAATTGGTCTATTGATTTGTTGTGTATTTGGGTTGCTGTCACATTGACGTATACCCCGCATTTCATTTTGTCCATATCAACAAGACTTCAAAGATTTGAAGCAGAAAAAAATGATAACAATGAATGCTTTAATTTGAAATCACATCTGCATCCAAAGTTTCAGGCTGATATTGCTTTAAACAGATCAACCTGGAATACAAAGGAAATCATTTAAAAATTTAACACACTTTTTATATCACATTTATACAACAATGCAAGATATTTTTTCTTCAGTTTTTCAGATAGTTTAAAATGGTAAAGAAAGAGTAGATTTTATATTAGTTTCAGAACGATTTGAGGCTAAGTAAAGTGCTTCAGCAAACATAGAATAACTATTCACTATACACACGTGAACATATAATATGAAAAAATAACTGAATATTGTCAACATTGTTTTCATTTAAGAAACAAACGATTTTACACAAAATAAAATCTGGTTTCATGATGTCTCTCTTTTTAAATATCGAAAATACACGAAAGGAAACATTTGTTTTATGTTAGTTTAAAATAAAGTACCATACTTCTGTAAAAACGCATGTTCTTTTAAGGTTTTCGTCTGTATACACAAGAACCACAATCCGATATTTTTTATCCTTTTTCCCAAATAAAGGATTTAACCTTCACATTAAAATGTTATAACAGTCACATTTTAGTACAGATATAATACATTTTGGAATGCTTTTCATTTTATAGAAGGATTTATGTATTGACTATTTCTTCTTTAATAATCTCATAATTTTTAGTTCATTTATATAGCAAAAATGATAAATAAAAACAATATAAATAAAATTAAGAAGGCCTTTTACAAATTTGCTGGACCTTGTCTATTATTGGTTATAATTTTGAGGTGTTGTCAGAATGGTTACATAGATACTGAAAATAGACTTACACTTTGTGCATTTGCACTTTTTCTGCCCACAGTCACCACGTTGACATCCTGCTTGACGACAACATTTATTGCAGTTTTTATCAGCTTTGTTACTTGGACAGTTTGGAACATTTTTATTGCAATACTTTTCGTTTTTTCTTGTCGTTTGACGAATAAACTTGTCCTCACTAGGATCTGCAGTAGTCTTTTCGGAGATAACTGTTAAAAAAAGATTACAAATCTAAAGCACTAACAATGTCAAGAGACTAAGTAAATAACTTCCATTGATGTTAATGTAGATTTCTATAAAACACACATACTCCAAGTAAGTTTATTTTAAATACAAATATTACGTTGTATAAAACGAACGTTTGTCATGTCGAGGCCGATTAGCTGACTAAATTTTGCATTATGGGTTTGCTCAAAGTTGAAGTCCGTACGGTGACCTATAGTTGATTAAATCCGTTTCATTTGGACTCTGTTGGAAAGTTGTCTCATTGGCATTTACACCACATCTTCTTCTTTTTGCAGAAATCATCAGTACAATATTTCAAAATGTCGTTAAATATATTTGTATAATAATATAATAACTTTTTTGTTCTTTTCAAATATTTTCGTTTTCACACCAGTTGAAAGTATTTCCAAAGAATCATTGTGATCATTAACTGATGTTTAATAGATATTCTGAATTATCATATTTCACGTTACAATACCAGAGTTTGATTGGTTAATACAAGGGAAACAATTTATTCTATCCAATGGCTCAGCGAGAGACAATTTTTTTAATGTCACCACTCGTGCAGACCTATCAAAAATCAACAATTAAAAAAAAAATGGATTAATTACATCAATATTTGATAATCTTAAACTCGATGTCAAAGTTTTACATTTCGGTCTCATGCCTTTTTCATAGACTTTCAGGATTAAAAAATACATCTCTCTACTATTTCTAAAATGTAAAGTAACAAAAATAC